TTCATTGAAATTCTATTTTTATGATTTTTTTCTAATAAAACTTAATTCCTAAGAAAAAAATAAATAACCAAATATGATTTCTAATTTTAATATTTTATATCTATAAAACTTTAATACTCTATTTTAAACAAATCTACTAATTAAGATGTATTGATCTAACTTGCATTCATACCACTTCATAATTCTCTTAGAACAAAGTTTACAAATAAAGCTACCTAAAAATTAATTAACTTTCTCTTATATTCAATCTAAAATTAAAAAATCAAGTATGTAGAAATAATAAATTGTTATTTTTAATAAATAAAAATAACAGAATTGAAACAATTTACATATTTGTAATATATTACGAAATTTCAGAAGTTAGAAACTTTGACCTGTATAAAAAAATTATAAATAAAGAGTTATCTTTAAAGTTGAAAAGAATAATCTAAATGATTTAAAATAAAATAAAATAAAAAATTAGTGGCATCAAATACCTAATTTTAAAACCATTATGTAAAGAAAAATAATGGAACCATTATGTAAAGAAATTATTTTTAATTTCTTTTTAAAAATGATATGGTTGTTAAGATGATACATCAACAAGGATGTATGTAAATGCTAAACTTTGGTGATTATTAGAAATCTATAAGATATTGAAGAAAGAAGGTTAAGAATAGTAAAATATTTAGCCAAGATAAAAAAAATTATTAAATTCCATGAATTAAGAAGAGAGAAAACAATAAAATAAAATAAAATAAAATAAAATAAAAATAGAACGTGTATAAAAGAATTGAGAAGAGAATATTAAAAGAAAAAAAAGTTGAAATAATTGAAAAAAACAAGAATTAGTATTAAAATAGACATAACTATTCAAAGACCAAAATTTTATCTATCTTTAGCTTTATACTACCAAGAATTAAAACAAAAATCAAAATAAATAATTTTTAGAAGAAAAAATGTGTTAATACAATATAAATGACAAACTAGAAGATAAAATTAATGGTATTGAGAATTAATAATTATAATATGATTGATAGTTTATATACATACATAAATTAAAACAAATAGTTGAAAAAAATATAAGTTTGTAGCATATTTTAGACAAAAAAGAAACATACTAATAGAATTTATATTTATAGGATATTTTAATTTTACTAAAAAATAAAGAAAAACTGATCCAAAAACAAAAGTAGACACAAAGAAAATAATTCCATACTTAATACTATTATTTTGTTTGAAAATATATAATATTTTTTTATTATGTAACATCTATTTTTTGAAGATATAGATATAATAATAATAATAATAATAAACTTGAAACATTTAAAATAAAAATCCAATAGAATATATGCTTTAAATTCCTATATAAAAAAATGCTTATTTTGAATTGTATTAAAATACATCAAATCACATTTTTAATTCTTATAATATATAATCTTAAAATAGCTAAAGTAAAAGATATTAGTAAGAGGCTCTAACTAAGACTTGTAAACTGAGCAGATCATAAAATTAGACTAAATAATAGAATCAAGCTCTAGATTTTAGAGGAAAAAAAAATCAAACACAAAAAATTTATTCAAAAAGAATATAAGTAAAGTGCTTAAATTTTATTTACAAACAACATAGATGTTAAGAAGATAAAGTAAAGATACAAAGAAAACATGTAAAAAAATACAAAAAATTTGAAGTATAAGTCTTGGTTTCAAAAAAAATTAAAAATATAAGAATACAAAAAAAAAAAAAAAAAAAAAACCTAGAAATAATACAATAATAGTAAAAGAAATCTAATAAGATCTAAAATATCTAAAAATAGAGGATATTAATCCACATCAAGATAATTCAATAATGTGGTGGTAAAAGATTGTAATGAAATTTTTTTAAAGATTATTCTGTACAAAAAAAAAAAAAAAAAAAAAAAAAAAAAAAACCGGAAAAAAACCAATTTGCCCTTAAAATAGACTTAAGTATAGATAGAAGGTCTTATATAATAGTACAAAAAAAATATGCTATAATATATCAAAACAATTTGAACTTAGTTGACAAAAGCTATATAATTAAAGAATTTCAAAAGATAATTCTATAAATAGTATGCATAAAGATTTTTTTATTGATTAACTAATTTTAATAGAAATAAATTTGAAAAAAAAATACTTTTAAATAAGAAGGTTTTAAAAAAGATAGTTTTTGCAAATTTATTTTATTATATTTTACTAGAAAGAAAGTAGAATAAATTAAAAAAATAAAAATATTTATTAGATACATATTATTGATAAAGATATTAAAATAATAATTAGATATTTATATAATAAATTAAATTGAAAATTATATAAATAATTTTATTATCATTAGTTTATATAATTATCTTTGAAATAGGTTCTTAAAAAAATAATAAAAAATAACACATAGTATGTTTTGATGATACATATTATGAATAATTTACAAAATAATAAAAATTAATAAAAAATAGCACTTTATACAAAAAATGAATATCTTTCTTATTCATAAAGAAATGTCCTAGACTTGTAAACATGACTAATACTTAGTATTTTTCTTGCTTGAAACTTTAAAATTATATAATAGAATAAATTAGAAATATCAAAAAGAATTGTAGTTCATATTTGGTTTTAAATTATAATTTGTAATAAAAAAACGGCATTAGATGAGAATATAAATTCTTTTGTAATTGTAAATAAATAAAATAATATAGATCTTACAAGATCAATATGTAAAAAATGTCATTCAGTGCTATATTTCTGTATTTTAATTAATAATTGAATGGAATATAAAGAGATTAGAGTTTGTGGCTTCTTATTTTATTTAATAAAATATATGAATATATAATATGTTTTATTTTTTTAGAAGAAATTACAAAAAATATAACCTCTTTTAGAATATGAAGAAGATACATAAACTCTTTTGTAATTCATTATTGCATAATATGTATTTTTTTTCTTTTCAATAATATAAAATTAAAAAATTTTGCTATTCAATTTTGTTGAGGAATTTTTGGAGTTGTATATTGGTAAATAACTCTTCTATATTAGCAATTGTTTTTAATCAATTTGTTTTATGTCCTTTGCTGTTGTCAAATACTAAACATTTAATATATATATATATATATATATATATATATACATGAAAATAATAAATATGTTAGAATTTTGTTTTATCATATATATCCATAGTTTCTTTTATTAATGATCTGTATAAGTAAAAATAAATAAAAAGAAAAAGAAATAGAAAACAGTCTCTAGTTTTTGAAGCAACTAGTACTTGCTCCTATATTTTTAAGTAAATATAGACCAATGTACTTTAAATACAATGAAAAATAACATTAAAACTCACTCTAAAATGCTTTCCAAATATACATTATTTACAAAAATCTATTTAACAAGAATTTAATTTCTTCAAGAATTAAAGCTTCTGTACATTCAAAAGATCTTTATTCACACATTTGATTTATTTATGCATGCTAAACTTAAATCATTTCTACTAAATTTTCTTCTTGATTAGGAACTTTTAGAATTATATCTTTTATTGTACATATATAATTAACTAAGTCTTATATATTTAATACAATTAAGTTCTTCTATAATTTAAGAACATACTAAACATGAATTTTTGTTCTCACAATTTTAGCAAACATTTTGATGCAAGTTGTGCCAATCTTGTATCACATAATATTTTCTATAAATAATATTCCTCTAATATACAAAGTATAAGTATAAAACCAATTATTTAAAAAACTTACATAATATAAAGACATAATTATAGTCATACTAAAGACATTTATAAACTTTCTATTTACATTTACAAAACTTACTTATTTAAATAATTAATCTTAATTATTGTTAGAATCTTCTTTTTATGAATTTATTTTTATATATCTTTCTAAAATTTTGTAATTTTTTGCATTTACAACACTTAATTTGAGATTTTTCAAATCAAGCCTTAGATTTTGATCTAAATAGTTTCTTAATTTGTAGAGTTTATCCTTTATCCATTGTACTAACTCTCTAGTAATACTTTATAATGTGAAGTCTCAAAATAAAAAATATATATATATATATATATATATTAAATTTATTTAAAAAATAAAAAAATAACAATGATCTCTTTTAGCATTAGTATCGTTTCTATACAATTAAATGGACCAAAATTCTTATATGATGGGAGTAATGAAGTTAATAGCAACAAAACTTTATTCTTATCTTCTACCTCAAATTTTGCATTTGAACTCTTCCTTGCCATAATGTCACCTCAACCATACTTTGATACCAATTATTGAGAAAATAGACAAAAAATGTACATATTAAAATTAATACAAAACAAAATTATTTCACTGCAATTTAAACCAACATACATACAAGCTTAATTTTATTGAGTACTAGCATTAAAATCTTTAAAAACATCCCAAATGCCCACCAAACATCTAATATATTGCAAAGACATTGCTTTCACTCTCCTCCTCCCCTCTACTTGGAACCCCACAAAGACAATTAACAAACATATCATGCTCTATACACATTAAATAAACAAAACACAAGTATAACTAGACCAAAACACAATGAATTAAGCCACACTAAACCTTAGCTAACTCACACATCAACACCTCTACAATGAATTCAACAAATAATGACATCAAGAGCTTAAACATTTCCATCTAAACAAATTTGCTGATAGATCTAGGTAATCTTCGACGAGCCTAGCATAATCGCAACCACCATCGCTAAAACCCGACACTGGCATCTCACCGAACACTTCTCACAAGACCAATGATCTGGTGACTGATCTCGTGTACTAAATTTAAAGATGAATGTGTATCCATTGGTGCAACAGGGCGATTCTTTTTCAAAACACATCTGCACTACCTTCACCGGGATTCTGCCCTGCACCAGAAAACAATGCTGGTTTCCTGACCTAAAGCTGGGGCCCTGGAAACCCTCCCATCCTGGTAGTGAAAATTCTCTTCTCCACATAAGCTTTTCAATACTTATATGAAAAACTGTGATAACCTAGGAACTTAATACTACAATGTGAACTTGCAGTCATACAATACAGATTATAAGGCTCGTATATTCGTTCGACTTTGAATGGTCTCAGTTTACACATAGTACATGCAGCACACATTTCTATGAAGCACTTCATTGGAGTGCACGAAAGTATTTCAGGTTGAGCAATCCGCTGCACAATTCCAAAAAGGAAACCTTTGTACCCATGGTGGAGGGGTGGATTAGGAATACCATTGCGCTGGACTAAGTGGTCGGCAGTCAAACCAGTCCATTATCAGGTTGAGTGACCAAAACCTGGAGCAATGTCACTCAAGGGCCCCTTTGTTAACCTGAAGGTAGTTTGGACTACTCTTTAGAATAGTGCTGTTAAGCACTCACAGTTGTCTACCGTTGTTCAAGCTAACATCCCCTTCCTCCATTCTTTTCTGTACAAGGTCGGTCCCACTGGCAATCGTTAGAAAATAAAGTACAGTAATCAGACGGTAAGTAGATAAACGATGTCGTAAGAGTGAGAATATTTAGTGCTAGCACGCCCTAAGTATGTATGCCTGCACGTTAATTCTAGATTTCAAAATTAGTTCCTAAACTCTACAAACAAATGTATCAATCGGTCTCTCTTTTTAATTGACAAACGCCTCGTAATAACAGGTTTCAAATTTAAACAGAACTTCCGGAGAAGTTTTGAAGCACATACCAGATCTTCTTGTATTCTTTTGAAGTCTCCTTCCAACTTCACTAGATGCTTTTCTAAAGACTGCGAACAATCACAAACGTAAATACCTTCAGTTGCTAAGTGTTTTTTGTACTACCTGCGTCGTAGTATTAAATTAAAGACCAAAAATCCCATTTCATGTATACACACACACAAACAATCCTACTTAAGATTTCGAACATGTTTAAGTCTAACGAAAGTGAGAAATATACCCGTTTCCGCCTTTTCTGATTAAAACGTTCCCAAGCCTGCTTTTTTGTGAGCAGGCCGCATGGCCTTAACCCATCGGGATGGCCTTGTGGGCTTATCCCATCATTGGGACGTTGATAATTTTTGCCACGATACACAATAATAGCTTCTCCAACGGGAATGGTACAAATCCCAACCAAAACCCCTCCACTCTCAATTTCAAGCATCCTAGCTATATTCTCAATATCATCCCTCTCCCGATACATAAAGTAACTCTTCTTCACAATAATCTTCACCAGCTGTCTCCACTTCCAGTGGAGATGCATATTCTCTATAACGCCACTAAACACTTCTCTCCTTCCTGAATAGCATCCACAAGTTTACAATTCATAATTCTGCTTCGGTAATACAAAGCAACAGTATCTAAATACAACCTTGACAAAGTAGTGAAATTTAACTGTATTAAAGAGAATGAGTAATCACCAGAATATGTACTTACTCTGAAGAACAAAGTTCCCTTGTCAACCAGTTAAGTATGAAAATCCAAAGAGATCCCTTCACTTTTAACCAAAGCAACTCATCTTACTACATTTAAAATCCTCACTTTGTCTAAGTTCTGACATCTTGTCTCTATACAGATATCTGTATCACATACTAGTGACTGCGCTTGATCTACTTGTTTAAGCAGTTCGGAGTAAGAAATGATAATGGAGGTAAAATAAGAAATTAAAAATAAAATAAAATAGTATCTCACCTAGGAGAAGATACGGCTTCATGCGCAGCCCAATCTTACGTAAAGTATACATTTCCTCCTCAGTAACGTCCTCCTTAGATGCATGCATATCTTTGGGCTTCATTTTTAAGTTCAGATTTAGTAGCTCCCTCTCGGCGCTGCTAATCTTCTGAGAAACCTGAAGAACAAAGATCAAACACACAAGACAACATTCAAACCGATTCGTATTGGCTTGAATCTGATTTCAATATCTATTACCATGTATGCAGAAATCTTCATGAATATTGAGCTTAGCAAAAACAGCCCAAACTTCAGGCTTGATCTATGTATACAAAAATTATAGGAGAATGAACTTACAGAATTGAGTATTCTCTGCATCCTTTGTCGGGCTAGATCTCTTGCAGCTTTCCGTGCAAGTATTGCTTTAGTGGAATAATCCTCACTATTTTTCCAAGGGTCCCATCTGGCCTTTTCCTCCAATGTCTCTGCTAGGGTCCCTGCATTACTGTTCACGGCACAAAGAAAAAGGAAGACACAAGGTAAGTACTATCACTACCACACAGAATCTCTAAAAGTAATGTTTCAAAAAATAACACATTACGACTATGAACCACACATTTCTTAGCTTAGACACGATATGAATAGAACCATTGCAAAATGAAATTGCACGAAGCCAAGCTAGAGGAACCACTCATAATAACAGATAATTCGCAAAGAACTTAAGTCAAATATGTGGAAGTTTTTTTCTGATCAGTTAACTTGCGTTCCAACTGATTATTGAGCATTGAGCACATCATTAGCAATAAATGATGCCGAAATTGAAATCCTAGCATCTACAACGTAGTTCAAGGCTCAGACTTAGACGACATACAGAAATCCAAAAGAAAAGGATAAAATATCAATATCCCGTAATGGGAGAAGATATAAACTATAACACATTAACATCGTTTAAGGGCATGTTTTAGTACCTGGGCCTCAATTGTGCATCGAATCTCATGTGATTGCAATAACCAGCCAAACGATTTCTCTCTTCATCCTCCAGAAGCGTCCTGGCAATGTGGTCTTTCTCCTTCAAAGTTCCTTTGACAATTGCCGGTAAAAAGGAGTTCCCTCGGTAGAGTGCAATGTAACTCATGTTTCGAGCTATCAAGTCTCCTCCAGTAAGTCTCTGCAAATCGTACAGAAACGCACATTGCAAAGTTACAACTATTCTCCATCTCTTCACAAAATCAGTCTACATGAGCACTCCCATATCTGTCCGACAGGAATTGAAGGCGTAGGAGCATAACTCACAATCAATTCTGAAGCCATTCGATCATTAACGATTCTTGAGACACCTCTTTTCATAGCTATTTTAGCAACTTCGCTCTTTTCCCACAATTTCACAATAGCTGAGGCCAACCCTTCGAGTCCTCTGCATTGTCCTGAAATTGAGAAAGAAAACATACGCGTGAATCAATTCGCATTTCAACTAAGCAATCCGAACTAAGCAAGAAGTATTGAAACGCGGCAATCCTCGCAGTAAAATGCAATGGCAACCAGTATGACACATGGACGAAACTTTACAGCATCACTGAAAAGAGGACCGTGTGGAAATATATGATGTGCGATATGTCTATTACTACCAATTGTGGTTTGAACGTACGCACCAAGGACAAAATGTGGTGGAAGTTTTTTAGCTAGATGACGCATCTCGGTCATTTCAAAGTTGGTTAGTCGAGGTCTCACTCCATACGGCAGCCGCCTAAAGGGACTATTGAAGTTGGAGTTCACTAATAAATCTCCATCAACCGGCGCGCGTCCGCCCTCAATCCATCCTACAAATTGCGGTCCCAAATCATCCATCAGATCCTCAATCTCTGACTCCTGTATCATGTTTGTCTGGCAGTCATAAGAAGTTCCCTCCTCCATTAGCTGCCGACTTTCGTCTTCTTCATCACAATCAAGAAGTTGTAGCCGTTTTCTGTAGGCTTCCTCTCTTAAATCCATTTTGCGCATCCAAACAGGTACATAATCTTTTCCTCGATAAATCACCACTGCAGGTCCCTCCCTCCATATGACTATTCCACCAGTCAACCTCTGCAGCAAAAAAAACACACGCAGAGATCGTTGAATACACAAAGAATAAACACATTTTCACTCACTCTGTATATGGACAGTGTGAAAAGACGAAGTTGGAATTCTATTTATCACGCCACAATTTATTGACCTCTTAATCAGCCAAGAAAAGATGGAAAGTAGGTAGTCACTAGCCTCAAGATTATCATGGAGATTCCTCATATTGCATCCTGGTACGACACATCTCACTTTTGCAATCTCAGAAACAAGCCACTTATTGTGGATCGATTTCACAATGCCCCTTGAGATTCCTTGAGTACCAATTTTCATCCAACCCTTTATTTTCAGCCTTAGTGCACACAATCTCTTTAATTCGTCTTGTGATATTGTAAAATCTGCCACGGATGAAGGCAGTACATCTCCGGCGTCCTCTGTTTCTTCAGGTTGCTCACCATATTCCTCGAATTGATCTGCATCTCTTCCTAAAGAGGATCTAGGCATCCTCCACAATCCAGAACTATAGTCATCTTGGTCAAACCGTTCGTCCGTTTCTGAGAATTCATCTTCGTTTGGTTTTTCCGCACCACCTTCCTTCAGTGGATTCAAAGGCGTGCCGCCTTTAAATCCTTCTTCAGACTCGAAATTTGAGGTGCCTGAGCCATCGGGAAGCTTCTCTTCTCGTGAATCCAACTCGTAATTCCATTTCTGACAATCAATATGTTGACTCATTATCTTTTCCAAGACACTTTCAGGGTCGATTTCAGATTCATCCAAGGTCACTGCTTCATCTGAGTTAAGAGAATCCTGCCATAATTTATCAAATTCCGTTGAAACAGATTCTTCAGCTCCCTTAACTGCAGGAGCATTCTTACTTGATAACACTTGAGCTCCTTTATGGTTAGTGAATTGATCCCTACTCCTGCTACCATTCGGTAATACATCTTCAGATTCCTCATATGCAACGTCAATGGCTCCTGATCCTCGAGAATCGGCATTATAATTAACTTGGACTTCATTGTCTGATGATGATGTACGTCCAGTTTCGGGAGTAGAATCGCCAGTTCCAACCACAGTAGAACACACTTGCTCTCGGAGTAACATGTTTCCGGATTGGATATCACCTTTTCCTCCACGGATTGTAGACTCTCCCTGTTGCTGCTCATTGCTAACAATCTCTTGTGCATCAGCATCGACGTCATCCTTAACCTGTTCATCTACTAGATTACTACAAATTTTTGGAAGACCATTTACTTCATTTTCTTCATCATTGGAGATTTCATGTCGTATCTCTTCGCCATCTTCAGATACGCCCATCCCATAAAGTGCACCAGAGGTGTCTCCGTCCCTGCCCTGATTTTCATCATATAACCGAGACCTTTTCCACAACAACATAAAGTGCCGTTCAAAGGAGAGAGGCACACATGGCACCAAATCCTGTCAAAACAAAAATTGCAGTAGATGAGCGAGTAGAACGCAGCCAAATATGAGATAGAATACTAGGGACTGAATATTTGCAAACGTTGAAAGCTAGAAACGTAATACACAGGATAGAAACTGGCTGAAATATGAGGTACTACTATACTAGGAAAAATCCTGAATAGTTTCGGCTCTTACCCTGAGCTTTGCACCAACTTTCTTCATGTCACTTCTGTCTAACTCCCTGCAATCTATTTTCACGAGCTCATCAATTTCAAACGCGTCTTTTACCATCTTCACAAGGTTTATGTACACTCCAGCCCTCTCTGAAAACCAACACCGAACTTGTTAGGCTGTTTAGACATACTGCAAGTAAAATTCGATTATTTTCACAATTTTCATCTCAATTGAGATTCAGACCACGAGAAGCCTTTACCACTGGGATGTTCGGCATATATAACAAAGCTTAATGACATAAAAAGAGGAACCGATATCGCTATGCAAGAAAAAGATTCAGTTTCACAATTGGAAGACCCTGGGGAGCTTCGGTATTCTTACCCAAGCGACAAAGACAGTGAATTCTTCGCCCTAACGCTCGAAGGTTGTCAGCTTCTTTCTCACTCAATCCTTCAGGTACACTTTGCACAACTGAAGGATAAATAGGTGCGGGTGGTTTCCATAGCATTATTGGAATCTGAGGCCGAGTGTTCCAATTGTAATTGCGTCCACGAAAGACGTAGAGCATACCCTGCGAACGGCGGATTATCTTGCCTCCAGATTTCTCCTGTTTCATGAAAATACTGACATCAAATAACGGCATCCATTGATCCATCAAGACAATAAAAAAACAAACTGCACAAATCTGCACATGACAGTTATCCTCAAGCAAGCTAATAACCCACGTAAAAAAAATAAAACAAGAATTTAAAGAATTAAGGCAGTATTGCCTTGTCCTCTTGTGATACACGAAATATGACGGGTACTTGGTCGAAACTAAAGTGCACACCTCAATCACACGACACAGGTTGTCCATGTCCACGGTCGGAACACCGTAACATTTGATTCTACACACCCGCCGTCGTTTCCAGTGTCTATGCAATAATTCCAGCATGTTGTGCGTCAGACCATCCTTCCCTTCAAGGAGACAACATCGCACAAGAAAAAACTCCTCAGATGATCCGCTTTGAGGGCATTTCAAGGACTAGCAAGAAACTCTTCACAACCAACCACATTGAGGTCCTGATTCAAATCAACAGCAGGGACCCAAAAGAAAAGTCTCACACTTGCACTACATTAAGAGCCTTGTAAAATTCCCAAAACATGGCGAGAGGATACCATCCATGGGAACTTTACCTAGATCAAGTCGCCGACGCTCAGCGCAAGCCCGTCCTACAAAGTCCCGAACCTCATCTTTGGTTAAAGGTTCTCCCAAAATTTCCTCCCTTGAGCGCCCCAACTTGGGACCTGCACCCTCCAGGAAAGGCCCAGGGGGATCCACCTGCTTGGCCTTCGTCATAGCTGGTGGAGGAAGTTTGAAAGAATCAAATTCAATCCGTGCACCCTCCACATTAGGTTGTTTGCCTGTCCAAGGCCTTGCCATGCCTTCAGGTCCGAAAGGAGAGTAAACTGGTTCCCGAAATCCTAAAGGAGGTATGTTAGGATGCTCCGAGTAGCTGAATTGGCACGGTAGTTCAGGCTTTATGACATCAGGGGTAAAGTCGCGAAAGAAAGCAGCCTTCTCTTTGTAGTAAGGTTGGTTAAGAGCTTGGACATCCTTCATTTGTTGCCGAACCATTCCTGAACGGGAGCGTCCTCGGTTCGGGTCTTTCCACCGAGTGTACTTCGAAAATTTTGCAGGTATCGATGGATACGATTTGGAGAGAACTACTCTGGGTCCTGCTGATCTGTCCCCTGGCCCAGAGTTTCCAGACATCGAGTCTCGCCGTTCCCTAGCAGAGAAGTGCCAGTCCTCTCGCTGTCTCCGAAAAGAATACGGATTCGACTTAGAAAAAACAATCACTCATCCAAGACTCTTGAGATATTCTGCGAAATGCGTAAGCATCATGTTCAAGGCACTAACCTCTGTATCGGTTGATGAGCTTGTATACCCTTCGCTGCTCGCCTCATAATTCCACGTATTCTCCACATGGCCACGTTCGCCTCGTCGCTTCCGAAGGAAAGAATCTCCACCATCTTCGTACCAATCATCTGCGGCATCCTTGCCATCAAACTTCACTGCTTCTTCACTTACTCCACTTTCACTGCGCTGTTTTAGAATTTCCAAAAATTCATTCGATAATTTATAGGTAGAGCTGCTGTTGGGCACTTTGCCCAATTCATTTGCTACCTTGTGTTGGTTCCACAATGAAGTTGCACGCACGGAGACTCTTGGAAGTCTGGAGTGAGGAGGAAAGCGATACGTTAAAGAATTCAGAAGTATGCGGCGATTGATAAGACTACTCAACGAGGATTTCTGGGAGAAGACGTTCTGAAGAGGAAGCTCTACTTTACAGGAGGATCCATATCCGGGAGAGACAATAAGCCCTAACGCCATCGTCGCTTCTCAGCTCTCTGCTTCACTGTCGCTTGTGTCCAAGCCAAACGACCTCAGCCATCCGGAATCGTAGCGTAAAACCTGAACAAGGTACATCCAGGCTTCCTGCACTTAATCCAAGAACTGCTAGCCTCAGCACAGTTGCTCTAAGGGCAAACTATGGACAGCCCTCAAATACAAAATCCTCATTCAAAATATCAGAATGCTGACTGCTAAACCCAAAACCTCACGGCGCATGCAACACACAAACTTCCAGTAAAAGGATTCTCCTGGCAAAGTGTCAAACCCGAGCGAGGCCATCACAGAAATTAAACCCTAACGAGATCAATCGACTCGTGGCTTCATTTGAGTTGAAATACCTTCTGTCTAATTAAACCTTCAAAGCAATACAAATAGTCTGCATGCACCTAAAAAATCCAGGGTCCATTGTGTATTAACCATCGGAAGATAGGCAGCATACTGTGTGCCCTGATGAAGCTGATCGTCACCGTGACGTATAATCATCAGGTTTCGGAATCTCGGGAATCTGAAAGTTGCTTAGCATTTGTTACCATCGCCGAAGAACGTTACTCATGGTCCGGGTGTAATAAGAGAAGGCCACATAACCATACTTTTTTCCGGGTATCAACTTCGTAGTCTTTCTTCAGCATTCGGCTTTCGCATGTTTCGAAGTTTGATAGCTAACCCAGTGGGGAGATGTGAGACGATGGCGTTGGTGATGTCGAACCTTGTACAGGTGAACCTCACGCTGAACAGGATGGCAACGCAGCTTTCTAGCAGCTCTGGTAACCCACTGCGACTGGTGCCTCGTTTGTTCCTCACGCAGCCTCCGAAGCTGCGCTATAGCTTCTCGCGTCGCAACGCAGGTGAATGTTACCTTGGGAACTCTACCTCTTATGCTTATGCGGGACTTTGAATCTGATGTTACTCCACAAATTTTTCCATGAAATTTGCATGCTGAGGTTTGGGCTTGGTGCATAGATTGAAATTGCCTAATTCAGACCGTCTCTACGGAATTGTGTGGATTATCTGCAATGGTGAGAGGTTTTTCATCATGCACCTCTCTTTACAGAGTGCAGTATCCCAAATTTTGGTCAGTCAACATCCGCCGAGAATGGAAGAATCATTTGCTTCTTTGTCACGGCAGAAAGACTGCTCTATAATTTTGCAGAAAGGTTCCATGTGCATTATGCGAAAAAACTTGCACTCTGCCAGCCATCGTTCGATTGACATTGTATTCGGCATAGTACCTATAGTGCGAGAGTAACTAAAGCAGGGTGAGCTTGCATAGGACTATGTCGCGCGGCCGTGCTTTCACGCGACGAGAAGAACCATCTTCTGTTAGGCGTGGATAAAGCTCATGTGGACGACGTCGCTCGTATTCTAGAGCAGGTACAGATTCGCACCCGTAGCTCTCATTGACCATAGCATACTCGACATAGTTTCGACAATCTGCAAATCTGAATGCATACATCCTACAATTCCTCCCCCGTTCCCGCTCTCATTCAACTTCAACAATCAATTGTCACCTTCACATTAGGCACGAACCGCAGCAGATAGATGGGAAGTCGCACACTCAGCGTTCCTCACTCCACCAGTTTTGAACGATGCCCTAACAGCAGTACGAAGACTGTCAGATGTGGGGGTTTTGGTGTCTGGCGGTTATGCTCAGGTACTGTCTCTGTGCCCAAATCCGCCGATCCTCGGCTGTGGAGACTCTTGATACTATCATCTTCTCTTTCATTTGCGGGGTGTTCTTCAGTGTCGATATCATTGAAGGTGAATGTGGTGGAAACACTGGGGTAGGCAGAGAGGTGTCGACTTTCAGTTGGACATGTAGAGACTATAGAGGCGGGCAGCCTTGAAGGAGGGAATGCTGGTTACCCTGGAGCAGTTGCAGCATTAAGGTCTGTTTTTGTTTTATCAATTAATTGTTTTCGTTGCCAAATTTTGAAGTGTTGCAAGTGGTTCACTCAATGCAGCAATGAGTACAGGCTGCATTTTACTCGCTTTAATGATTTGTGGTTATGGTTTTTCGAATGGAAACAGTGTCTCTGGGAATTTCATGTTTGAGAGTGCCACACACGGAGACTTCCTAGGATCTATCTTAGGCACGGGTGTTACTCGTGACAAAGTGGGCGACATAATTATGCAGGTACCTGCATTCTGTGAAGTTTGTCACCTTGTGAAGTTTTCTTCTGAATCTTCTAAGCTCTGTATACCCCAAATATCTCACATATTGTGTTTGGCAGGGAGAGAAAGGAGCCCAGATTTTGGTGGTTCCTGAGCTAGTTGAGTTCTTTTGCTCATCACTAGTGCAGGTTTGTTATATACTTACTTCAGCCCACTTTTCTCTAAACCTCTACTAAAAAACTCTACATTTACTGGGCTCAATATCTCCTCACCTGTAAACAATGTTTCTAGCGCGAGTTTGGAAGAAATATGTTTTCATCTGGATATAAACTAATTTATGTCCTTGTAAATCCATGCAGGTGCGTAATGTAGCAGTACAAACCTCAGCTATACCATTGAGCGCACTCCAAGTAAAAGCACCTAGGTTGGTCCACTAAAATTTTAACTCAAAGGGCTATCTCCTTCCGATCTAATTTTATGATTCTGTAACCCTATCAATGGTTTCTAACGCTGATGGAGTTTCAGGGTGGACACCTTTAAGTCAGTGGAGGCTTCGTTGCGTGTTGATGCGTTGACAAGTGCCGGCTTTCGCATGTCGCGGTCCAAATTAGCTGAACTTATCAGGTGTGTTGTATACATCTCTCTCTCTCTCTCTCTCTCTCTCGGAATTGTAACTTGTGGCCTCCACTTCTACATCCTCACTCCTAAATGTATGTTGGTGTAAACAGTAGTGGAGAAGTGAGAGTCAATTGGAAAGAAGTAACCAAGACGAGTCTGACTTTGAAGACTGGAGATGTTGTCTCTGTACGTGGGAAGGGAAGAATACAGGTAATATCCGATCGCGTTAACCTTTTTCGTAGTTCATCAGGCTCAATGGGACTAACCGACTAGAACTTGATGACTTGAAAATAGCATTTGCTTTATATTTTTGTCCACATCATCAAGCAATGTATTTCTCTGTAGGTTTTGGTTTGTAGGAGACTTGCTCACGAATAGCTTGCATCGCAGGTAGGGGAAATTGTCATGACCAAGAAGGGGCGGTATGCAGTGGAGTTAACACGCTATTTGTAGTGTGGTTAAGCTTATCACTTTTTAGGTGAAGTTCAAAATTAAAATAGTTGGTCAGATGGAAATTCTATCCCAAGTGGACGATCCAGTTTTTGCAGAAAATTCTCTAAATATTCTCAGTATATAATTTTACTTTGTCATTGACGGGTTTCCAAGTCCTTCATATCAGATATATGAGATGTTTTGAACTTCCAAGTTTCCATATAGCTTCAGTGACACTGCAGCAACAGCCGAGATGTCAGTGGATACCTCGATGCCTTAATCACCTGATTATGAATTGATGGTTGTAACTGCATTTGATAAGTGCGATGACACAACGCACTCTTAACCTTATCAGAAGCATCAATGTTGGCATTATTCCTTACTCCGAATCATTTTCACTTAAACCAAGATGATCATAGCGAGCCTGTTTACAAACAACATAAATTCAACTAACTAAAAATTTCGAATTGCGAGTTGCCAGTGTTACCCTCGTAACTCTGAATAGTGAGCTATTGAATAGTACGAATTGAGCACACGGTGAGCTCCCCGATGGTGACCCACGCTCGACTACTATTTATCACTATCCTCTGAGGATGGCGTATTGATGGCTCTGATTCCAGAGCAGTGCCCTGACAACTTATATCCGAGTTTTGCGAAAGTGACAACAGAACCACAAAACCATGAAAATATAATGTATAAATATTATAAAACTTGAAAGTGTTTTACTCTCGTGATTCACCACACTTCACATCTCTAGTTCCTCTCTCACGTTGACATCATTGACAATGGATTTCCAGGACAAAGGATCATTCTCCTATCCATCTCTTAACTGAGGTACGCGATCAATACTCTCAGACAATTGATCCTCGAATCAACTGTATATCCTTCCCAGAACAGGAAAATCAAGTTCGTTGAACAGTTTTTTTTAGAATGTTACAAGCATCCAAATAATCAACTGATCGCAGTCTGCAAGCATCCTAATCATGTCGGAGCCCTTCGCTCCATGTGGGAGGTAATGCCCTCTCGCAAGCACGTTGCAAGTGGACACCAGCTGAGGAAACCGCAGGAAATTTAGTTTTCAAGAGAGAACTCAGTTCATCTTCATCACATCTGGAATACCACTGGGCCAAGACGGGAGATATATATATATACATTTGCTCCGCAGTTTTTAATCACAGGTCTATTATTGTCAACGTGCTTTTCTTGGAACACAAGCTTGCAAGCAGGGACGAAAGATTTATCCTCGAGGATGGGACACACAGTAGATTGTACAAGGCACCGCAAAATAGCCTCGGGTAATAGTAGTCAAGTCGCAAGACTTGTAGCCACAGCAATAATACTAAGCACTTCTGTGTCGATGGTCAAAGCCACAACTGGCCATGTGGCGATCGTGAACTCATTCCCGAGCCGGACCCAATTCACTTGCAATTCGAACAAGATAAGTCGTCAGACTTTCACAGCGATCACAAATGAGATATACTACTTCGCGTTCAACACGGCTGATCACCAGTTCTGGAACTGCAAGGTTTTCAATAGAATATGGGGAGCAATCGGGTACTTTCAATTTTGGGGAGACGAGAGACATGGTGGCCCGGACCTTTGGAACTGCGTCAACTGCAACTGGATCGTTGAGAGTGCAGGGATTTACTTCTATGTGGACGGTGCATGGAGGTATAAGTACAGCTGGGATTATGGCACTTGAAATGCTCAAGTTGGTCAAATAAATGCATCCAAGGAGGGATTTGAAGATTGCTGCACAGATTAGATGAGAGCGACCACCTCAAGCATGTAAGGGCCCAGATTCTTAAGCTAGATGTTTGTTATGCTGCTGTAAGGCCAGTGTCGGCAAGACTCCGTCTGTGGTTCTAACAATAAACTAGGCACAGCTCTGGTAACCAGCTGGGCATGTTCATCTCAAGCTGCTCTGCTCGTAATCAACCTAAAAACTCACTTACAAATATATTCTTTCATATCCTTGTAAACCCACGAGTTTGGTTCAGAAATAGATTGCCACTGTCGTATATAAATCTCTTTGGGAGTACTGCGCACAGAACAATACAGTCGAATAGGCGACCATAGAAGCTTGAGGCTAATCTATAAGCTTGACCCAAACTAGAATGGGCATAAAGAACCTACGCCTGACAGACCATTTCAGATGGAAGCATGACAACAATCCTTGCAATTAGATCTTAATTAATGGTGACTAAAAGTCATTTTTATAAACCAAAATTATAGTAGACGTGAAAAGTTTACACCATGCAAGAGCTCAAGAGTTAGATCTCCAGTAGAAATGGTTTCTAAAGCGACATGGCAATGAACAAAAGTCTAATATACAGCAAGATTAGATCATCTCATGAAACCGAGCCAGTGCTTTCTTTTGGATGACAACCCGATAACTGTCACCTGGAAGGGTCTCAAACCGCGAATCAGTATTCTTCTGTTGATTGTGACTTCCAAGCCCAGCCCTCTCTCCAGCTCCTTTAGCTAATAATGGTTCAACGATGCCGGTTCTCTCCTTGCCAAGCCCCTGAAATACACATCGGAAACACTAAAAAAAAAAATTAAATTACTTACAAATATGAAGGGTTAGTTTGTTCATATTGCTTATTCTTATACAGCACACAACAGAGGACTGAACGATAGCACATAATAAATTAGATTGTGGTAAAAGATAAGAGAAAAGAAACTTGAATGAAACAACGTTTATCCGAACTATACGTTAAAACATAATCAAAACACAAACACTTGGAATGGTGATGAACGTGTGGACAGCATTAAAAAAACAAAACATGTAAAAGATGCTAGGGATTCTTCACATACCGAACCTTCTTGCCACCCCATGTTTCGAAGCATACGATTGCCCACATTGCTCGCATCTAGGGCTCTCTCAGCTGTGATGACTTCGAAAGACCCACTCTCCGCACCACCCATAACAGCACATGAAGGATCGGTGACCAGTCTATGTTTTGATCCTCCTCCTCCTCCAACTCCAGAAGGGAAAGGCATGTCAGACACTCGGCATACGCCTCTTGCTCCGACGCCAGGAGGGAAGGGCATTTCTTTCCCTGCTCATAAACTTGGCGCGATGAACATTGAGATATCTACTCATTTCTGGTGGCCTAGACGTCAAAGGTCCTGGTTTAGTTTTTCATGATTAGGAAAAACAACTAATTTCTAAAAGTAGCGTATACCTTTCCCTTTCCCATCGCCTTCACACAAATCTCCAGACGATGTGGACGCATACAAATTACGACGCTCTGCAGCTCTGTCTCGATAGCCACTTGGAGGAGGAGTTTCTGTAAATCTTCTTCTATTTGAGATAGCCGTAGTGACATTAGAAAACGCCCCTAATGCTGATGCGTCAGTTTTGAATGGAGTGACACCAACATGTCTCTCCGAACAGCCACTGCCAATAGATGGGTACCCTGTCCCAGCTCCTTTCCCTCTCCCAGCTCCCCTCCCTGAACCTTCACTTAGAACTAAGGAACTTGAAACGCCAGATACTGAAACACCTCTACGACAAGTTTGTGGGACGGGTCTGGCTCTCCCAGTCCCTTCAAATGGGTGATAATTTCCACTAAAAGGATTTCCCTCTCCACGGCCAAGTGTAGCCGTTCCTCGACCAGCAGATGCAACAAAAGAAACCCTTGCTGAGACTCGTAGTGAAGATCCCCAGCCGATTGAGTTGTTAACAGTCCCATCCATCACTACATCTGAACTTGAGGGATAAGTTTCTTCAGCAAGGGCTGCAGGTATCGAATCCTCATGCTGACGTTGTTTCCACACAGACAACACATTGTTCAGCTTCTTCTTTCCGCCTCCAAGCAATACACTCTTTCGAAGTTCTCTTTCTTTTTCTTTCATTTTCTCTTTTTCATTTTTAGCAGTAAGCTTCGCAGCTTCAGCCGCAGCTGCAACTGCTTCTGCCAGGGTTGGTTTTTTGGGTTCAGACTGAGAATCAAGTGCCGAATTTGCAGGGGCTGATATAACAGCAGCTTTGGCAGTAGAAGCTGCAGTGGTGGACACTGGAGTTTCCATAGTTTCTACGGCAGTCGTTGTAATCTCTGGTGATACATAAGTATTATATTGTTGAGATTTTTTATCATAAGTATACCAAACTCCCGAATTGCCGTTATAGTATAACCCTGTACATTAATGTAGGAACATTCTTCATCAATGTTAGTATTTTATGAAGGCAACAATAATCAATTCACTGGAAACCACAAGTTGACGAGCTGAAGACATTCAGAGTCCGGTCATGCAAGATAGACAACAAAGCTACATTAAAACGAATAAAGAATTCCACCACATTCTAATTGAAATCTCAGATCTGTACACAACATAAGGCTTAACTCAAGGCAAATTTAGCAATCAAAGAGGCTTTTGACTGGACAACCGAAGTTGCTACCTCGATTCCCATCATAGTAAAAACCCGAGGAAGCATCATAATAGTATCCAGAGGCTTCATCCCAAACAAAACTTGACTGAGGAGCACCACCACTACCTCCCTCTGCATCAGCTCCCTGCTGCACTCTCATGTCCATACTCTCGCAGAGTTTGTATTCTTTAGGTGGCCACCCCATCACATCATACTGAGAGAGGAAGAACTCCGACAAATCAGATATGACAAAAATATGATCATCCAGAGTCCATAACACCCAGATAAAGATACACTATATAAAGAGCAAAAACTTGTAAAGGTCTCTACCAACCCATGCCAATACACATTCAAGGCTAATCCCAACAATCCCGCATAAGAAGATGAGAATACCAGTATCCGTAATTAACTGCTGTAAGTGGAATTGGTTCAAAGCACAAGGTCCCATATTTTAGTAGAGTTGGGCAGCGGATAACAATCGGCAGAAAGGATTGGTACCTGCTGAGCAAAAGTTGCAGCTTCAATCGCAGCAGCAGCAGCTGCACTGCCTTGAGCAGAGACAGCAGAAGCTGGACCAATACTTCTAGCAAAAGCAACTCGCAAAACCTGCCCGTTCTTATTCAATGCTACACCATTTGTTGAATCAAGCGCTTTAGCAGCATCTTCCACCTTCAAGAATTTGATTCATTCTCAGGGAAATCTGAGGCTCAGCTATCACTAAATAGAAAGAGCACGAATCTCATTACGCTGGCAACTCCTAATACAACTACCAGCGCGTCAAAGCATCTATCACAGTTCGCTACTGCCACAACTACCTATCTGATTCGCCACTAGTTTTTCACGAGTAACAACACTTAAATCATTACATCCTCCAATCAATGGCTTTTTAATACATGAAAGGAAGTTTCCAGGTGCTGTAGGCATCAAATTTATATCAACGTCTCAAATGAATCAAATACACTCGACGACGAACACCTGGAACACAAAAGTACAATATTATACCGAATAGAAATATATAAAGGCGAATCCTCTTGAAATATTTGTAAACTTGTCTCGTACAAGTCGCAAATCCTGGAGACAACTTCCTGTGAATATTAATTATCATGACAAGTGCACGTTTTGTAACAACGACTACTAAAACTGCACAACAAAAGGTAAGATGTGTTTCGGAAGGTTTACATTACAACTAAAACAAGGATGGTGGAAATATGAATTGAAACTCCTTAAGTCTTTCGTGGTAACTACAAGCAGAATTCTGACAATCTTTAGAGGACTTGAAACAATACCTTGATGGGTGCGTATTTAGAGAATTCGCAATGCAGACTTTCTTCATCAACAGTTTCGTCCAACCCACGGACTACAAGAACATGAGTCGGCCCTGCAAAACTGTCACAGCAACATGAGAAAAAGCATACCCAATAAGTCACACTGAAAACGCAAAGAAGTAATGGCAAGACGCCACTGCTACACGTTACCTGCTTCCGAAGTCCTTCTAGCACCTGCTCCTGAAGCAGCGGTTACATCTACAGCAGGTGATTCATCTGTGCGTGCCTCATTGCACTGTAAAACACCAACACTTATAACTAAAACACTTCTTCATTAATATGCACAAGAACCAGACAAAAACACATGTAAATACAGTTGCAGCAGACCTTTAGCAAAAAGATTCCACATAGAAATAGAAAGGCTCTGTAATACATGGAGTAAATTCTTATTCTAGTCGCTCGAGTTTACAATCAAAAACCTAAGGAATAAACCTGAAAGCACACGACCCTTCGAGCAAAATTATTGCACCCACAAACTGTGCATATCCAATCGGCTGCTGCAAGACCACGTTTCACTGATGCACCTCGACCCGGGCCAGGCAATATCCCAGGTCCACCTGTGGGTTTGCTGCTGCTTCAAAGTTCACAGAAAATCATGTTAGTTAATACCAGCGACAGTTAGAAAAATGGCTGTCACAAAAGAACAAGCACTAAACCGATGATATCTAAGATGTCGTATCAAACTACCAACTGGAACGGTAATGTGATACAAAACCCTCAAGTGAACACTGCCTAACGTACAATCATAACCACAAGCATCACCAAAAGATAACAACCCATATGACTAACTGCACGATGACGACAACCGTCAGGAAAAATAAACGAGCACACGCACAAACAGACCTGTACTCAAAAAACATGCGAAGACCATTGATTATAATGCCTTCGTAACCAACACCATCCATCATTTTTTGAGCCGCTTCCTGCAAGTGCACCGAAAGGTCAAGTCACCCAGAGCGGAGCAGTTGTAGTCATTTGTCAGGCTAGCACAACAATCCATGGATCACACATGACAAAAAATTGTGAGCACAACTTTACTTATCAGGAACTGTTCCAAACAAATTAGCCAGATTTGGTAACTTCATAAGCAAATTTAAGTACCTCTGAGCATTTTGTTTGGATTGAACATTCCAAAATATGTTTCAACCTCGAACTAGGAAGGGAAAATATCAACAGAGACCAGAGTTATGAAGGGACTAGTGAACTCTACATGAAAGAACAAAGAACTCACCACATCTGGAAAATCGACGAATGCGAAACCCCGTGACACTCCTGTACTCCGTTCCTTGATTACACGGACATGTCTTAGTGGTCCCCAATCCGCCTGCAAAACATTGAGAAGGAGAAGTCAAAACCACCTGCTTTGATACTTACATGGGAACGACAGTGCGCATTCGGCATCAAGCTTGAGATAAGACATACTCTCAAAATCTGACAAGGGAATCAAAGCGGGCACAAACACAATATGTAACGCAGCCTAGTTGATGCGATACTTACCAGTGCCTGGGATAGGTCATCCTCACATATGTTTTGAGAAAGTCCCTTAATCACAAGTGTTGCCGATGGAGGCTGCAGCCAAAATCCACGACCAATAAGGGCTACTTAGTAACATGCGCAATCAAGCAGCATCAGCAGCATGCACCATCGGGACATATCACAGAGAGGAGGACCTTCAACAGAAAATTTCAAAGCGTAACAAACTCAGACTTGCACACTCATTATGAAGGAACAGAAACGAAGAATCGCCGCCGTATGGGTAAGCAGAGACTTTTACAAATGAAAAGCAACGTCATACAGAACAACCGGACGCAGAATAAGGTCGTCATACCGTTGCAGAAGCAGCGTGATAACGAGAACTCTCTTTATCCAGTCTTCTGTCGATTCGTAGTTCATCGTAACCAGACTCACCCCCAACAGCCTCTGTGCTTCTGCTCCGAGGAGATCGACAAGAGCACCTAAAGAAATTTCGATCATCACCATAAAACGAGCGGACCCTGTCATGGCATCTGCTCCGATCTGGACTGCATTTCCCACGATCGCGTTCCAGTTCGCGACTGCGGCTCCTGCTGCGGTCAAAGTCGCGGTCTCTACGTCGTCGTGAACATTCTTGTCCCCGATCGCGATCGTGATCGTCATCATCGCTTCGAGATCGTCGACTAGATCTTTCTCGCGGAGATATTTCCTCTCTCCTGAAGCCCGGTGCTTCATCTCTCCTAGGCCTAGGAATGCCGCTCCGAGGTCTGGGTATATCAGCCATACCCACATCTCGATTGTCTACTCTGCCATCCTCATGTGAGGATCGATCGCGACTGTACTCCCAACTGAGTACGCTTTCCTCATTATCAAGATCCCGGGTTTCAGTGCTAGAAGAGATTCTTTCTAATATGACGTCCCGAGGAACCTTCCTTTCCAAGGATCCATCCCGGTCATTCCGCTCCAATGAGGAACCCCGCCTCGATCTTTGATAAGTATCTCTCCCCTGATTATATTTCTCAAGTCTAAGTGCACCGCGATGTAGAGCTATTTCTTCCTCAAGAGGCAGCCGTCTGCTCGGTACCCAATGATTTCGAAGGTAGCTATCCGCATCAATTCCAGCCTCTCCTGGATAAGCACATCGCGAATAGGGAGAGCCTGCTTGTCTAGGTGGAAAGGAATCCTCAATATACCCTCTTTCTCTGTAAGCTCCTCCGCCCCTGTTAGCAACAACTTGTTCAGGAAACCGTTGCAAGGACCAAGGAGTCCAGCATCTCCGTAAAGAAAACCCCGACTACAGGTTTTCAACGATTGCGAGGATAACAAATGGAAGGATTCACAAGTGACGACAAACAAACTTCATAAACGACTCTAGCATCAATGATGAACAAGATTCAATAAAGAATAACATGTCCGTTCTTGGAGATATTCTTTCGTTCCATTCTTTCTTCTTTAAGTCTGCAAATTTCTGAAGGGCACATAATGAATCAGCAACGGAGACCAGTTGTGAAAAACAAACGACTTGAGGAGCTGATCTTATCAAGTAAAAAAATTGTGAGGAGAAACTGACCCGTGAACGCCCACACATATCAGCACGTTCTTAAACAGATTACAATTGTTCAGAAACCTAGGATGCACAGAAACCGATAATGGTTATAAAACGACGTATGTGTTTAAGAAACAAAAAATAAAACTAGTTCCCATATATTCACGAGGCCAGTGTTTTGCATACAACAAAACCAAACAAAATTGAACATGATGGTTTGAGATAGGTAATAGCAGAAAATGAAAGACCTGAGATTAGGACCGAGATATGGATCAAAGCTCTCCAATGCCTGTGCATCCAAAGAATAAGGGAGAGTCAGCAGCCAACACAGAAATACGAGAGAGACCAACCGCCACTGCTTTTTGTTTCTGCGAAAGCCATAGCCATGAGCATTTCCATATCTACGAGGTTTTGCGCGACCGTGCTTGATATGCGGTTCAAGTGGGTATTGTGGGACAAGAGAAGTCATTACAGCTTGTCAGGAACCATGCCATGGGTGTGGGGTGCATTCCGCCCCACTATTACCACCACCATGTGAAGATCTAGAGGAAGAAACCACATCAACCGTGTTCGTTTGGTGGTAATAATTTAATGCAATGCGTACGCTGCTGTTTTCCCAGCTTGCTTGTTGCAGCCCAAACCGTACGCCGTCCATTGCGCTGCCCTTCTCTTCGCATGGAACCAGAGGCTTCGGTGTATCAGCAACTCCCCTTCCTTTAATTGATCCTATTCTCAAGTATTGCTTGCTGCCTTCACAATCCTGTGAGTAGATGAACATTAACACAACGCTGGATTATGTCGCAGAAATTGATGCAGATCTACCCTTCACTATCTACTCGCCTCCCGAGTCCCTTGCTGAGCATCTAAACATCCTCGAAGGCTTATGAGGAAAGCCACACTCCCCGAACAGAGCCTTCAAGTAAAAATGTGCTTATTCAAACAGTATCAATGGCCTAATATAGTTACAGAACATCCGGAGACAAGTGAAATACTTGCACCATACTCATGGCCTCGCATCACGAACCACTGTGCATGTGAGCCCAGAGGACTAAGCATCCATTCCAGATGACACATTGGCTGACTTCACGCAGAGACCAAATTAATCTTGCCCAGAAATAATATCGGTACATAATCCCACGGTCCAAGAGAATGCCCTCTGAGTGTACCTGAGATATGCAACACAAAACAGTGACGTCTGTATCGGCAAACCCATCTTGCTAAACTCTCGTGTTGTTATCTGTGTTTCAACGACCCTGTTCGACATCTAATGAATAGTCATGTGAATGGATCTAAAAAAAAAAAAAAAAAAAAAAAAAGAAAAACCGTCTTGCTTTTCAAACCGTCTTACTTCCAACAGGAAATCGAAACCCAACTCTATCACGTCATCTCAAAACGCAATGCAATTAAAACAACTCACCACACATCAAGCTATTACATACAATCACAATTCAAAGAATACAATTATCTCCAATCAGGTGCAAATCCCCTCGCTCCGCAACCAATGGGAGAAATCAACAACTTCAACGTTTCAAAAAGAAACAAAGCGCGGGGGCTCGTGTAGGAAGGATTACCGATACAACTGAAACACCGCCACAAACAACCACCGATCGCTCCACATCAAACGAAAGCCCTGAAATTCACACTCTCGTCCCTCACATTCCATCACCACGACACACCACCTCGTGCTCCTCGGCACAGATCCACCTCCAGTGTCAAATTCAACCAGAAACCCTAAAGTCATTCAAAGCTTGAAACAACAACAACCAAAGCAAGCTCTGCTCACGATGCTCTCCGCTGCAACTTCCTCTTCATCCAATTTTGCTCCCAGCCAAACACATTTTCCACAAAATGTGAGTGTGGGTGTTGGATCCCCCACAATGAAATTTAACTGCAATGGGTTTGGGCGATTAAGTGTCGGCGAGGCATTAAGATTCTCGAAGACTTCGGAGGTGATCGGTGGTGCTATTCGAAGAAGACAAGACAAGAAGTGGGGATACCGACGCAGTGTCGGTGGATGTCCGATTCCATAACTGCCACCGCTTTGGGACCCTCCCTCCCTTCCTCTCATGCCTTTTGCTTTTTTCTGCTTCGCCAACTTTTTTTTTTTTTTTTTTTACTTTCCTCTTTTATCTTTTTGGGTTTTTGTAGTGTGTTGAATGAGTGTTTTTTAAAGGTTCAAAATGATTGTGGGTGGCAAACAAGGAGCTTTGTCAAAGCATTTTAAAACTATTATGTTTATATTGTAAATAATGTATTATAAATAGGAATTTTATCCATTACCAGAGGCAAGTAATTAATCACACATTTGTCAGTATTTTCTACAAATTCTGATTTGGACATTACTCAAGAGAAGTATAGAGTTATAGAAATTGATTTTTTTGATGTTAAGTAGTTACTAATTGTCATGCATTTTGATAGATTTGTTATGTTTTTGTTCTTATTCATATATTATGCTAATACATCATTATATAAGGTAAACTAGTGTATTTATTTATTTATTCTTTCTCTTTATATATATATATATATATATATATATATATATTATTAATTTCTTCTCACTAAATGAATTGAGTTTTTTTACTATCAATTTTTTTAAATATAATTAGATTTAAATTATTTATTAATTATTTATAAAAAAAATGCATATTTATAGATTTATCACACATAATTATGTATATGTTCTTATGTGTAATTTTAACATACTTGGTCAAATTCTTAAATAATGTACTATCAAAAATATGTAAATTTATTTAACTAATAAAAATTCAAATAACTAAAAAGAGTTATATCAAAAAATAAAATAGACCTATTGATCTTACTATAGATTAATTATATTTAGCTATAACATCATCTCTTTTTTACATACAAACAAAAATATTTGTTTACAAATAAAATTTATAATAATAATCCAAATCCAACAACTAAATATATATATATATATATATATATATATAGATAGATAGATAGATAGATACTTTGTTTTATAACTTTTATTCAACTAAAATAAGTTTAATCATTTTGACATGACCAACAATGTAAAAACCAATAAATTACATGCATTTTTATAAATGCTCTAAGTTTTTGAAAATATATTTTAAGAATAATATTATTTTTTAATTATATTTTTTATATATTTTATAAAAATAATTTAAAATTTCTTTTATAACTATATATATTTGTATTTATATAAGCATCAACATACTATTAAATACAACAATATACAAAATCAAGGTTTATATTGTCTATTTACTTTTAGTTTTTAGAATGTAATGGTTCTTAAAAAGTACCCATTATATTAAGATTAATGCAATAATTAAATTTATATTTCCTATATATAATTTTAAATAAATTTACTTATGCAATGTTTTATAGTATTCCACTTAGATTTTTAAAAATTATAAAAATTATAATTTTTTTCTAAAATATTAATTTATATTAATAATTATCAATTATATTTATTATCTTGTTACATTCTTTAAGATTGTCACACACATTTATATTTACTTAATTATATAGAAATAAATAGAATTAAATAGAAGTAAGTATAAAGTAAAGTAAAGTAAAGTAAATAAATAATATCTTATTGATACGCTTCTTTTAGCTTTGAAAATGTAGATTTGATTTTTTATGTAAGTGATTAATAGATTGAAAACTTGGCTAACAAATTGACTACATGTTCTACATGTTAGCCACTTGTATTACAAGTTTGCTATATGGCACACATATTGAAAACATGTCATACAAGTTAGACATGTGTTTTCCAAATTGGACATATGTTATGTGGACTATAGAATATTGTCACTTAAATTCTTAGTTAGATAGTATATATACATGTAAGAGTAAAGTCCTCTTCACTTTTGTGAATGTTTTTCTTGTTTCTAGTTTCAAGAGTCTTTATTCTTTTGTTTTCTCGCAATAGATATTTTATTTTTTTCTTAAATATACATATTATTTTGATTTTCTATTGTCATTTCTTTTTTATACATATTTTGATAATGTTACAAACATCCATATTTACTATTATAGTTACTTAAATAAGTAGATTTAAATAAATTTGGGTGGAAGTAAGTAAAAGTATATTCAATTGATAATATTTTGTTGATAATCATCTTAGAAGATTCAAAGATGTATATTAATTTTACAATTTTCTCCACATAATTGGTAGTTTGAAAGCCTAGCTAAGTTTCTAACATATTAATTACGTACAAATACTTCTAAAATCAAATTCATGTTTACAAAGCTCCTAAAAACCTTTCAACTAGATATAATCTATTTAATCTATTTTTTACTTATTTCTATCTAATTCTATTTTTTCTTACTTATCCAAATAAATATAACAGTAAATTTGGATGTTCATGAAAAAAAACTTAATATCTTCTTTTTAAATTTTATTCTTTCAAAGCTAAATAATATATGTGCATATAATATCAATTTAATTTTCTTTCTTTATTTTTTTATTTGTTTTTCCTTCATTCATTTTTTTTACAATTCTTTTTTATTAAATCCTCCCCATTTATTTTATGTGAATCCTCAACCTATAGTTGCTTTAAAACTCTAGTTTTCTTATATTGAGTAACTCATATTTAAATTAGGTTTTTGATTTCTTATAATTAGTTTATTTAATAAGAAATTAGTATTTACAAGCAACGTACTATATCTACCCTAAATTAAAAACGTATATATATATATATATATATATATATATATTTGAAGTCAAACTCATTTACTTCAAGAATATTGGATTTCATCTTTTAACTTCAAAACATAAATGAGCTTTTGAAAGTTCACTTAATGACCAACAGTCTAAATTAGAATCAAAATTTATGAAGATTAAGCTTTAACATTTCAATTAGATGAAAAGTTACACGAATTGTTTTAACACCACTTTCAGTCTTGGTTCAAATTTTGGCCTCCTTCTTTTGCTCTTTGCCTGTTGACATAGTCCATCTTCTAATGAACACCGCTGTCTGTGGTGTCCGTAACTGGGCCAATTGAATCACGTGATCCATTGCAAGAAGAGTGGTTTCTAGATAAATCAAGAGAAAATTGAATGAAGAAAGCATATAAACCGCATTCACAAGCTTGATTGTTGCTGTAGGAATACATCTCAGTGGGCCGATTAGCCACCAGCAACATGCAACTGTTTGGCACAAACTGCCAAAACACTCTGGAGTGTATTTACATCGTTCAGAAACAGGTCACCTGATTTGTTTTAAGAGCATGAGTTTCTATCAGTGTGGCTGCTGCAAACTGGAGACCATCTGTCTAGATCAATCAATTGAGACGGACGCAAAAAAAAAGTTTTCTAGTGCTGAAGCACCCTTTGGCACACTAACCATTGTACAAAAACTTCATCAACTATTTCTGCAAATTCATTGGAACTCGAAGAGGTGGTAGACAATTTACACAGACGCGCTAGCACTCGGATGTTGTCATCTGGGGTCCAGCAGAAATGAATCAATGAGGCGCCTTCCCGTTAGTGGCTTGATATAGAACCCGGCGATGTATTCGGCAAACTTGAAGGACCTGTATAGCGGAGGATTGCTCTCCGAGAGAAGCTCCTTCAAGGGTTGGATAATGGTCTCCTTCGATGGCATGAAAAAATTTGGGATACTGAAGCGGCCCACCGTGTTGTTCACCAGTACTCGATGCATCACGCTCTTATATCTGCCATTGCTCACTATCTGCGCGAAACCAGATGAAGGATTAAGAAAAAAAATTAATGAGGGGTTCCACCGCTTGGTATGTGTGAGAGATAGGCTGGCATGAAAATGAGTCACATCACCTCCACTAAAATATGGCTCTTACAGATCATTTCTGAACAGGTGATCTCAACGTCTTTCAAATTAATACCCTAACGGGGCAGACTGCACGCACTAGAACCCAGTAACTAGTGGTGTCCAATCTGACCTGAGTTATGTCATCGCATTCATGAAGGAGTTTGTTTAGATTCTGACGAACCTGGAGTAAATCGCCGATGTTGACAACGAACGCATCCGGTATTGGGGGAACGAGAATCCATTGACCGTCTTCCTCGATTTCCAGACCGGGGGTTTTATCCTGCTGCAGCACTGTGATGAAGCTGGTGTCAGCGTGGGGCATGATTCCAAGCACAAGCTCAGGCTGTGGACACGGCGGGTAGTAGTTGAAGGAAGTTCGGAGGCCGACGGTTTTCGAGTTGATGTGTTCCCCCAGCGTGTAAGGCTCAAGCCCCAGTGTCATAGACAGAATCTCCATGAGCCTGATGCAGAGTTTCACCACGGCATGGGAATATTCGGCCACCACCAGGCTGTAAACACAGAACACAACATAGACACAAAATGTAACGACTGATGAATGGTCAAGAGAGTGCTGATCAGGTTTGTGAGATTAGCTAGGGGGTTGATAAAGACACCATCATGCATCAAGAACAGTAAGAGCACTCGTATATATACCTGAAGCGCTCAGGCTTGGGTGGCATGCAAGGCTCGGTTCGTTTCTGCTCACCATAGCTCCAAATGGTGATGCGGTCCACCCAGTTGGCAACCGTCGTGCTGGTTTCGAACAGACGACCGTAGCCTACGCTTGTCCCAGGCTTTATCTTGTTCACTTCCTTCTCCTCCGGACTCAACGCGAAAAACTCTTCAGACAGTTGTCTCATATCTCGCATCAAAGACGGTGGCACGCCGTGGTTGAGCACCTGACAGATACAACATGAACTTCAATCCCTCACACTCGGCCAGTCTGCAGTCCATCAAATACCTTGAATATTTTCGAAATCAGTCATGAATCACACCGAAAAGTCTAGGTGTGAGGCTCATATGAACAAGGTTTGAGAGAACCGTGTACCGCTAAAATTGTTTTAAAAAATCAAAATAATCGAAAAATAAATAAACAAAATCTATGAAGGTCGTCTGAGGCCTGAACAGAATAACAGAAAATTGTAAATATTCACTGAAGCTATCCAGAAGTTTTTCTTTTCCCCTCCTATAATTTCTATGTCCAACGTTATCTCGAGAAGAATAAAACTTGGTGATTATTCCATGTTTAACGGTTGCATTGATGATGAACCTGAAAGAAGCCCCACTCTTCACAAGCTTTGGCGATGTCTGCAATGACCTGGTCCTTGTTCTCGCCGTCTAGACCTGTCATGTCGATGACTGGAATATGAAGCTGCGCAAGATCACAGGTTTCGACCGGAGGATGAAGAACGGTGGCTCGACTGCGCTCCGGTTGTATGAATTTTTGTGGTATCTCTGTGATCCCCTTCGTAACAAGCAGTTGCACCATCTCCAGAAGCGCTTTGCTATCTGGTGCCGGTTCGGGGGAAACCTCACTAGCTGTAAATCCGGCACTTGGAGCCATTGTCGTCGACGCCTTGCGACGGAAGACAAAACCTGCTTTCGATCGTGTCCAAACCTGGAAGTAACAAAAACCACTCTTCGCAACAGATTTCCGCTATGTGTTCACACCAATTCTCAACCACCTCAATACAACGCTGGAACCGGTTCGTTCTCAAGAAGATGCACACGTACACGTCGCCACGTCGAACTAGGCCTGAACTGCCCGCTACCGAAGTTTCTAGATCAATTCAACTCCCGACCCCGGGTCGCCGAACCGAGAGAATCATGTCAAGAGGGGTGCACAACTCCCACACTCCCACCTACCACTATCGTCACAGTCCCGATTCCGCCAGCCTGAAGGTTCCCAACTTCAGTATCTACCGCTTGATGCTCCGGAGATTCCAGACATTGTCCTTCCTCAAGCCATTAGAAGCCGCCCTTAAGGTTCGCCGCCTTGGAAGTCTGACCTCATCCAGCTGACGCCACAGGTTGCAGCCCCTAACAACCCATGACGTGTGATCCATTCCAACTACCCGCCAGACAACTTGTAGCTAACGACGAAGCTCCCCTTCAACCCTGAAGAAACGGTGCGGAAACTTCACTTATCTTCGACAGGGAACCGGGTCTCCCTCCGCCACTTGCAGCAACTTGTCTAATTAACAGGTGCTTTGTCTGTAGCATGCGACGACCTCGGCAACCGTCAAGAATGGGTCTAAAAAAACACACAGTTGCTGCGGAACACAAGGAATGGTTCACTTTATTTTCCATGGCACCCTACCAAGATTCTGGTTTTACTGTCAGGGAGAGAGGGAATCCTCCAGCGTTGAAGCCATCGATTAATCCAGCGAGCTCGAATCCAACGACCTCTAGCATTTGAGGTCAACCAGTTGCTCCGGCACACTCGCGGTGTACACACGCATGGAGCGGAGAGAAGGTCGAAAGGGAGTTTTCCAAGATGAGGCTTCAGCTTCGCCACAGCCCTGCCTGCCTGTCTTTTTGCTTGCTTGCTTGCCCTCTTCTCTACTCTTTCATCTCTTTTTTTCTTTATTTGGAATCCCCTTAATTTAGCTTATCCGTACAACCTCACTATACATGGTTGACATTCCATGTCATGGAGATAATTCAAAACTAGCAATGAATTACTTGGATTTAACCCTAAAAAGTCTGGATGAACAAGTTCAACATCAACTCCGGTTGTCTCCAGAGCCGAATTCTGCACATCAACACTCTCGGGCTCACCCGGGCTGTGTCAACAAGAAAAAAGAATAAAGAATAAAACACTCTGGTGATCAAACTTTACCTAAACTAAAAGGTAGATGTGAATTTAGGTGGTTCCCAAAATCTCGTGCTTTTGGAAACATCCCTTTGGAAACATCCTTCCACTCTAATTTTAAGTCTAGAAAATCATACTTGGAATCTACAGTTTCCCCCTACTTTTTTCTTATTTATACACAATACACATGTATAAATATAGAGTTAAGTAGGCAATCCAGTTGATAATAGGTGATGAACTAGCACGGCTAACAAAGTGTCGAAGTATTTCAGTTCATCCAAACAAAGGATGACATTGATAGCACTAGGTATAAACCTAGCAACGGCATGCAAATCAGATGCCTCTACATCCAGGGGAAGCCAGTTTTGGATGCCAACGAGAATCCACCAACACCTTCCTGCAAAGCTAAAAAATCTAAATTTAGTTCGTGACAAATGATGACAGCAGTCTCTCAATTACTGGTATATCATAAGGACCCAGTTGATAAACTTTATCCATTAGACAGTAGAAAATCCAAAGCAGGAAACTGTTTTGTTGTGTTTCCACGAAAGACTAATCAAGGTTGCTAATCTCTGTAATCTGTTTGTTAAAGTGAAGACCATTTTATGTAGCATTATGGTTTTTTTTGTGATAGTGTCGACTTTTGCTGATGGAACAATGAGTTTGAGCTTGTTTCCTCATGACCTGAAACTCTGAACTGGTGCCAGTGCGGGATCAAAGAAGCTTAGGAAATATCAGCGGCAGGGTCCATCGAAGAAGTCGATGACTAGCAACATGACCAAGCGGGCAAAAGTTGGAGCGGCTTCGAAAGCTAGATCATGATTGAATGTGATCAGTAAAAGATCAACTGTCTAGATTGATCGTGTTTTTAATTAGAGAGCGAAAAACTAGCGACGCGGACTGTCGCATATAACAGGATCCCAATCGGACTTGAACGATGATCAAACAGTGGATCTCAGCATCCCCACTGTTGCATGAGCAGCACTCGAGGCATTCGAAGCATTCTCGGAGTAAGTCATGGTTTGTTTATACGATGCTGGGATGCAGCGGTGAGATGGGTTTTCACCAACGGATTGCCACTTCAACGGCGATTGAACATCACGGTGCTGGTATTGGGAAAGTAGAACAAAGTTCAAGTTTGAACAGAAGGTTGCTTACTGGACGACAAAGAAATTGCTATGTCTCAGACCTGCTTCTGATTGGCAGTTGTCACAGATGAAACTATATAGTTTTGATGTGGAAACACCATTGCGTGATGTCTAAGCATGAATACAATCTTTATCAACTAATATCCTTGCTTCTCACTTTCACAGCACATTGAAATGGCGCTTTTGGAGAAAGAGTCCATGTGCTGACAACAATAGCGTTGATTTGGATCATTTTAGAAACTAGCAGTCTACGATTTAAAATCTTTTGAAAAATAATATCATTTTCAGTAAATATATTGGAATGGAGTTAATGAAATGTTTATCGACGTCCACTGTGAACAAGAAAATAACGAGAATAGCATTTATTTTTTTTAATAAACTTTATTACTAAATATCAACAGTCGAATAAATTGAAAGGAAAAGATAAATGTATTCTAAGACATTCATGATCTTGTGATTCTACAAACCTTTGGATTTCTGCAAAATCAGAGCTCCATCTGCTAAAACTAGACATTCCAACTGATCGTAAACATTGTCATGTGAAACCTCGACTCACTTGTACATATTTTCCACCATGAAAAAAACGAACAAATTGTAAATAATTACACGTTACCCGATTAACTTTACGTAGGCTGTGCCCTATTCTTCCTCTCTTTTGAGCAATTTGGCCCATAAAAATCCCGGTACAAGGGCCGAACACGAAGAATCAACACCACGTTGAGCAGGGTGCCCAAAGCGCACATACCAGCCATGACGATGAACACCGACAGGAAGATGTGCAAGCCGTAGCAGACTCCCACAATAATGGAGCCCTGGTACCGAGAGCCAGGTGCTGCGGTAGCGAATAAAATGTAGCCGTTGAAGAGAAAGATCTGGGAGATTGCCATACAGATGGGGCGAGGAATGGCCGCCTTTCTGAAAGATCATCAGAAATTCAAATTCAAACATATTCAAGAACAACAATGAAAATAGCTTGGCTCCTCGATACAAAAAAAATTACACATCACAGCTCGAAAATTACACTATCCCAGGCAGAAAGGTGAGGAGGAGCAAAAACGCCGTTGCCTCGATCGTGAAATGCGCAGTGCAGAGTGGCGTGAAGATGGCGGTGCACAGACCGATGTATCCCTTCAAAGTGTCAGTGACTGTCTCTCGACTCCTGAGAAAATTGCGCATGCAAGTCATGAATACGGCGGTGTTCAGCCAAGTGGTGCTGTTGCCTCCGGTGCACCGAACCACGCAGCTCTACAATTGAAATTCCACTCAAAAGCCCGCCGATCAGTCTCTAAACCTCACAGCCGTCGCCCAAAGAGTTCAAAACCCATCAAGGATCTATGACTTCACCACATGGCGGTAATTGTTTTTCACCATCGTACAAAAAGAACCGCACTCAAGTCCAAGAACCGCCGCCAATAAAATCCTTCGTTACGCAATATACGCTCTACATTGACGCATCCTCCCGCAACCATGGAAGACTGATGCACATTCCTGACAAACAGCGTAATTCGACCTCGCGTCGCACATTCGTTCGAAGAACAAAACCCTATGATTATAAAACCATCCACTCACTCATATCTTCAGCAAGGACAATCTGTACCGAAAGTGGGAGGGTTGAATTACCTGCCAGCAGGACGGAGGGCTGATTTTCTGGCTAACGACGAGATTCTGCGTGCCGTAACCGACGGCATCCTCCACAGCGCCGATCAACAGGATGAACCAAGTGGGCAGACGATCCGCCAGCAGGGCCGACCACCAATCCGAACGGCTTACCCACATCTTTTGCCACCCCAAGATTATTAAGCTGCAGCTGGTTGTAGTGCATCACAGGTTTCAGGGCAGGAGAGCAATTCGAGAATGTGTAGATTTTCCCTGCTACAAATTGCACCCATATAGCTGTCACGAATCCCACCCATTTCTCACTGATGCGCGAGATCTTCGTGTCCAACGTCGCACGCACCTCTCTCCATCTCACACCAAATCCCCCCCCCCCATCAATGCAATCTCCACTGTGAACTAGAAAAGTATCCCAATCCTGTCACAAATAGGCATCTCTACAGAATTTCATAGTGATGAAATACGTTCTTCAAATCCTCAAAATGCTCAAAAAGTGGTGCAGCGAGTGGGTAAGATTCAAGCCTGGGCTGCTCTGAGTGTCGCTGGAATCGTCGAGGTTGGGGAAGGAAGCGGTTTCGCAGTCGCGTCGGTACTCACTCGCCGCGAGGGAACATGTTCCCATGGGGATGTTCCCAAAGGAGCGAAGGTCGGGAACCCCATGTCCTGAGCCGTCGGATGCTTTCAACATCACGTTCCCGCTACGATCGAATGGGCTTCTCCACGGAGGATTTTCCGCAGTTCTTACGCTCGCTTTTTCTGGCGGTAAATTAGCCACATACAAAGACTCTTCTTCTAAGAGTGCATGCATGTGTACATTCAAAATTTAACTAATGGAATTTTGCTTTGTTTTTCATAAGAGATAACTACTTTTCATGCAAATCCTCCATGTTTTCAAATATCTCTGCATAAATGTAAAAATGATAGAAATTAATGCACAGTTATATTTTTAAAATAAAATAAATATAAATAAAACTAGGATTAAAATTAACAATTTAGTAATAGATGAACAATGTCATGTTAAGTAATACCATAAATTCATGTTTTAAATAAAAATTATGTAGATAAAGACATAAAATATTTAGAAGATTTTATGCATAAGCCACTATGCAAAATAAAATCATATCCTTGTAAGTTAGAAAGGCACTACAAACAAATGGTTTCTAAGTATATAGCTTATTTAGATTTGTTGTGGCAAATTTTATCTTCATTTATTGCATAAATAGCTAATTGCAATAACAATTTAAACTTTGAAAAATTGTGCAATGTAAAAGAACAAACAAAAAATAGAAGTCACCACTAAAGACAATATAAATCAGAAATCACAATTATATACCACTCTCTAACTGTCATAAACCCACAAGAATTTTATAAAACACACAATTATTTAGTGCTATAATATATATAGTAGTAATGTAAAATAAATAAAAATTAATACTATAAAATTAGAAATTTATTATTTTCAAAAATATTACTTATAAAGAAAAAAAATTAAAAGATTAAGTTTTCAATAGAAATGAAAAATATTTCTTGGAAGTATAAATTTTACTAACATACAACACATAACAAATTACCAAAGGATGAGACATATGTCTTTACACCTTATTGAATAATATCCATCTTATCAACAACAAAGAATAAATTTAGAATGCCACACCAAATATTTTATATTTTATATTTTACCTTGTGATAAGATTTTAAAATCAAAAAATATATATATATATATATATATATATATATATTTCTTTTATATATATATGCATTGGAAAACAGATTGATGCATTTTTTGGAAAAAATTATTTTTAAAAAAAATTAAATTTTTTAAGTCAATCTTTTTTGAAGAATAAAGTTTTATGGAGCACAAGTAAAAAAAAAAAAAAAAAAAAAAAAAAAAAAAAAAAAAAAATCAAATTTACATATTCAAGAACTTGTTCAAAAAATAAGAGAGTATTTTCAATCTTAACTACCACTCTACATGTCAAAAACATGTTTTGTTTGTGAGTTCTAGTAAATTTGTAGAAAAATATAATAAACTAAAAATAATAATAATAATAATAATAATAAAGTATTATATTCTAGAATGCTTAACCTTAAATTTAGTCATTCTATAATTTAGGTGTCAAAATTGTAAGAAATTAGTATCACATTCTTAGAGACAATATTTTATTGTACCACCTCAAAATATGATAAAAAAATAATTAATAATTTAAAAATAAATATCCATAAGATATATTATAAAAAATTACATTCTTTATATGAAATAAACTGGAACTTTTGAATTGAAAAATAAGACAAAATTACCATTTCGGAAAATATATATATATATATATATATATATATAGAAACATAATTTTATTAATTTTAAAATTATGAGGTTGTATAAAAAAATTGACTTGAATTTAAAATTAAAATAGTTGGTGCTAAATCAATCTGTTTTTTGTCAATGTAAAGCATTGATATTAAATTCATGTGTGAATACTACTAATACTACAGTCTAAGTTGTCATTATTCAATCTACCAATATTTTATTATCAATCCACCAATCCAAGTAATGGATTATATTCAGATATAAGTTTGCAATTGATTTTAATATGAGATTTTTTAGTGTATTTTAAATTGAGAGGTTGTAATGTAAAAACAATTGTGGTTTAAATTAATATAGCAGTATTCATTGATATGAGCTTTGATTTAAGATTTTTCCACAAATTATATAGAAGTGATACATTTGGTTTAGTCAAAAAATATGCGCCAAGAAAAAAGTAATAGTTCATGTTTAGACATTCTAGTTGCAAATTGTCTAATGAAAAGCTATTGGTACCATAAATCAATAATAATATTCCACGATTTATTTATTCTTCCTTGAAGTTTTTATCCACCTTAAACATAGATACTTTTCTAAGTTTAGTATTTCTTTCCCTTTTATTATTCATACTAAAGATTAAAAACTGTAAAAGACAAAATAAAATCTTGAGAAAGAAAAATATCAACTAAAAAAATCTTCTAACGTGAAGGACAAATTTCTTGTACTTGGATGGTATATAGATGATTATTATAAACTAGTCCATTATAATCTTATCCCATCAACTTGCCTGCTTGGAAAAAATAAAATAAAATAAATCACCACAATGCTTGATACACGTCAGATGCCACATCAGTTGAAGTTAACATCCTTGTTATGTGATGTGGCATTGGGTTTCAAATCTTGTTGGATGTATGTGGTTTAATTTGATTCAGTGGGCTTTCCATTTATTTGGCTTTTTCCATTAGTTGGCTTTGTTAACATCAACTAGGGTTTGAATACATCAAGAGTGTGTAGGTTGTGCGTTTGTATTTGGTTTAGATTACATACTTTGTGATTGGTTTCTAGCACTCAATGTGTTGTGTGTAACAATCTTTGTTTACACAATAGCATTCAAATTACCTCCACATAGACTTGGAAAAAATTTCAAGTTTACAATTTATTATTTATTATTTTACAATTTGGGTCTTGTTAGAAATATCCAAAACTTGAAGTGTGTTTATGTTGGTTTGGAAATTAGAAGCCCATCTGAGTTTCTGATACAAAAACGATGTGGAATCTCCTCCCTGAAACAACTGAAGAGTGACTTGGTGCATTGAAAAGCATTCACCACTATTCACCAAAGTTGCTTTTTTATTATTATATATATATATATATATATATATATATATTGAAGGATGGAAAACAGGTGGAACAAAGTGGAATTAATTTTTTGTTTGAAAAAGTGCCAATCATTTACATGCAAAAGAATCAATAATGGTGAATCATGCGGAGTCATACAGAGAAAGAAAAATGAATGAATAAATAAATAAGGTTTATGTGAAAGAGGTATTATTGAAGATTTCTGGGAAAAAAATAGAAAAAAATAGTTATATTACGTATTTATTTATAGGAATGTATAAAAATAAGTACATGAAAAAATAAACTGATGATTATCTTTAATAGTAATGTAATTACTTTATATCAGGTTCAGCTTCTGATTTTGTTTTTACCACCTTTGTTTTTTAATTGATCATGAATAGAAATTATTAATATTTTTATTTTTATAATGGTTTCTGAATTTATTTATTTTATGCTGAAGCATTTTATTTGAATCTACATAAATCCATAAATAAATAACACCTATACAAATTGGAAAATTATAATGTTGTGGTGTGTTTTATAAATATCTGCAAAATTCAAATAATAGTTGAATTTTATTTGAAGCATGTGCACAATTGTTAACGTATGACTACTGATAAAGCCTCGTAATAACAATTAATGAAATTTCTACATGTCATATAATATGCAATATTAAGTTTTAGAGTTTACTTTAAGAAAAAAAATATCAGTTTAAAAAATTCATAAAATTTCATATGTAACAAAATTTAAATTTAGACTTTTAATTTACTAATTTGGTAGAATCAGTAATTTTTATTTTTTTCAATTTTATAAGTTATTAAACTCAAGAATCCAATTTTTAAACAAATCTCTCATATACTGCATTGTTAAATAACTAATTCTATTGTTAGTTTTGTTCATAGTAGCACCTTAGTTGTATCAGTTATTTAACTTTAATCTTGAGTGATTTTTTTTGCACATGTGAAATTAGCATCCAACCAACAATTTACGTCTGTTTTTAAAGTCTTATAGAAGAAAAACAAGTAGACTACTCTACCAATTTTAATTTTTAAATGTCATCATCATATTTCTTACCTAAGATACCAATTTATTTTTATTTTTTGTCATTCGGATATTATTCAGTGACAAATCAAAAAAAAAAAAAAAAACAAAACAAAACAAAACAAAACAATACCGTATACTATCATATATGTGCTGTCGAAAATATATATATATATATATATATATATATATACTAACATTCTATATTACTATAAATTTAAAACATTAATCAGCATCGTTTTAATAGACAGTTATAAAATTGTTGTTGAACTTAGTTAGTATGTATGTATGTATGTATGTATGTATGTATGTATAATACTACCATACTTTGTAATCAGCACTTCCAGTAAGGTGTTACATTGTTTTTTACAATACACTTGTAATCAAATCAAATATTTTATTTTTTTAATTGTAATTTCTGTTAAAATTCAACAAGTGATGAACACTGATTTAAAGTTCCACTTGCATAGCTTAATAATTACAAAAGTATAATAATTTATTAAAGGATGTAAAAAATATAAGATGAAAATATTCAAATAAAATAACACTTATGTATTGTCAATTCAAGTGATTATAAAATTGAAAGAACTCACAGTCCAATAATATTACAATCCTTTTAAGTTACAGTGCACATTGATTTCTTTAAATCAATAAAAAATATCCAGTAGTGTCAACATGCACACTTCTATTTTCTTTCACAATAATACTAATTTGGATTTTTAACCACATACAACATGTTTCAGTGGCTATTACTTGTAATTGACATAATTCAATTTAATGTATAAAATAGTTCTATTCAGACTCACGTTTTGTCACCAAGAAAAACAAGTATATATAATTGAAGTTAACTGTATTGACAGAAACCTGCACAAGTTGACTGGTTCATAAGTTTTGAAAAATGAGGTGGAACATATTGATATATGTGCTTTTTGAGCAGATTAAAACCTCATCATATAATTTAATATAAATTTTTTGAATAAAAACTAGGGAACTTGTGTATGTATGTATGTTTGTCTGTATAAGATGGCTTTCGGATGAATGCCCTTTTGGTGCTGGGGGCTCTGAATAGATGAAGTGTATGACGTTTGTTCGCATCAGGATCTTGCTGAGTGGGCGATTTCAATCACAGGAGCTGAATAGATTAATGAATGAATTGATGAAAGAAGTTACAGAAAACTCAAAGCAGTATTCACTGAGAAAGGAGGCGAATGAAAATAAACCACAGAAACAGCAATATATTAAAGGAAAAAAAAATGTGAGAAATAAAGGTCAAGTACAACACAATGTACAAGGTACAGAAAGTTTATTGATATATATAAAAACAATCTTAAGGGAAAGATGTAGAAAGGCCACTGTATGGGTCTGTGGCTTTCTAGACACAAAAAAACAGAACATCTCCATCGCAATGGCTTATGGAATCGGAAGTTGGCCTTACCGGAACAACTTATTTTGACAACAGAAGACGAGTGTTGCTCTGAAGACACCTTGCAATGAAGAATGGCCCCTGTCAGGCGGTTTAATCTAGCTACACTAACCATCAGCCCGCTAACCAGCTGTGGTAATCACTCTCTCACTCACACCATTGAAGCTACTGCCTGAGATACAACATAAGACTAGAAAAAAAGAATCCTTAATGATTTACAAATCCTCTCTCTATCTATCTGTAGCCGAACTGTTGTTGCTGGTTGGGGTAGCCTCCCATACCCATTTGAAAGTTCTGCCCCATCTGGTTCATACCTATTCCCATCTGAGGACCCATGCCTACACCCATGCCCATGCCCATTCCAGGAGAAATTCCCATATTTGGGTTCAAACCCATACCCATGTTGAAGTTCATGCCGCCAACCATCTGAGGACGCATGCCCACACCCATGCCCGGCCCCATCGTCGAGGGTGCCGGCATGGGAGGAGGGAGTCCACTGGCACCTGCTCTGCCAAGGCCAGAACCGGATCCCATTGCCTTGCCCATTGCCGCACCCATAGGCTGACCCATTCCTGAGGATGAAGTGGGCTTCTTCTGAGCCTGTTTCGGATTGTCAGCACCCCATAGCTCGTTCTTTAGCGTAGGGTCCGTCAACTGGATCCCAAGGTCGTTGAGAGGATTCACTTTAGCTGCACAACCAAAAGTAACCCCAGTGAAACTCAAGAATGTGGACTGTGAAGGAAAACTAATGTCTATTCAAGTCAATAGAAGCTCAGTGAAGCGAGAACAGAGAGGACCTCCACATGGTAGCAAGGGATACGAGAATAAAGAAAAGGAATCTCCCGGCCGGATAGAAGTGAGCGAGCCAGACAAAAAAAATAATGTGAACGAAGTGAAAAAGCTTACGTCCAGCAATGTTAAGATCAACAAGTCCCATGCTGAGCGTGTCTCCCCAAATGGCGGACTTCACTGGTCCGAACTCTTTCCTCGCTGGTTGCTGTGGTCTTGGTGGTTGTGGTTGTGGTTGATGCAATTCGTGTGGCGCTGAAGCGGATCTATGCAAGCCGCCCATGTTCTGCTGTACTCCGTAAGGGGATTGATTTGCGCTGGACGCTTGAGGCATGCCGCTGAAAGACTGCTGACGAGGAAAACCCTGATTGTTTCCATATCCTAGCCCAGATGCCTGGGAGAATCCAGTGTTGTGAGCAGCTGTATCAAATGGAGTTGGTGACTGCCCGAAGGTAGTTCCATTCGTACCAGTGCCATTGGACACTCCTGGTGCACCAAAACCATGCATGGAGTTACCACCAAAGTTGCTTGGAGGAGCAGTTGGGGGCTGATAAGCGACAGGTGGTGGAGGTGGAGGAGCCAAATGGAAGGACGAGCTGCCAAAGGGGTCTGACGCTGCAGGGGCAGTAGAAGAAGCCGTTTGAAAAGGTGAAGGACCGGGAGTGGCTTGGAAAGCTGAAACCTCAAACCCATCAGATGCAGTAGACGGAGTTGCTGAAAATGAATCTCCAAATAAATCATTCGTTTGCACCTGCATCACCACATAACCGTCCAATTGAATGCAAACCAAATCTACGTTTCTAATAATCAAATGTAAAACATCACAAACTAAAATGCTACACACATTCGACGTCTTTGCCACATGACGTACCATGTGAGACAATACGTACACCCCTCTAAGAGGTAGAAGTGTAGGACGGGATGCGTACAAGGAATTAAATAAAAGTACATAATTCTAGCTACCTGATGATTCGAGAGGTTATTGGCAGGAGTGGAAGCAGCAGCGGGGGCAAATGCAGGAGCAGGAGCAGGAGCTGAAACAGGAGCTGGAGCTGGAATAAAACTATCACCAAAGAGATCCTCAAGTCCACCTAAGCTTTTCTGCACCGCTGGAGGCGGTGGAGGCGGTGGAGCCTGTGCAATGGGAGCAGGAGCTGGTTCTGGAAATAAATTAGTTGTTGATTCCGGGAAGAAATTCTCAGTTGGCTGACTTGGTGCAGAGGCTACAAACGCAAACGCAGAGGTGTCAAAATTAAAACCGCATTTTTAAGTCTAAGAATAATCCAAGCAAAAACCTCGACTGCAATACCCACAATCCCAAATTACAGAGTAAAAACTTGATGCCCTCTCAGAACACATTTCTAAGCAGAGAGAGAAGAACCGATGATTTGACATTATTTTCAAAGTATTCTATCAGCGAAACAAATCAAGAGACAGAAAAAGTTTCACACACATATTGAACAAGTATCCAAATGCATTACAGTTAACATGAGTTACTTTTGCTTTCTACCCCTTCCCATCCAGATAGGGAACATGTGTACATCATAATAAACAATCAGAAACTCACCAGAAGCTGAGAAGCCCGATCCGCGAGGATCAAAATCATCAAAACCGTCGTCTGCGGTTTGACTAGCAACATATGAGCCACCTGCACTAGGTTGAGATACAGTCTCTGGTGCTGCACTGACAGGAGCCTCTACCTTGCTGGTTTGAGTTTTGGCCACAGGTGCGGCTACACGTCGACTATCATTGCTGCACATGAAACCGCTTTCGATTAATTCGAATAACGAATTAACTACAGACGAGGTTCAGCAGGTGTAGGAGATTTGGGAAGAAAGGGGATGTTTGAAGTCAAAAATAGAGAAACAAAGCAGGCAGTAAAACCATTCCAGAACGGGATGTTGCTTCTGAAATTGGACCCACCTATCTTCATCGGCAGCAGGCCTCTGAACCGCTTCTTCGTAGGCAGGAGGTGGCGTGGATCCACCTTTGGACTTGCCATTCCTGCTGTCAAAACAGCAAAGATGAGTTATGAGATGATATGAATACTTCTGGAAAATATCCACAACTTGGATCATTTACAAGATCCATTAATAAAAACCAACTTAATCACAAGCCTCCGGTCGAGCAACTTCATCGCCCAAAAGCTGAAACAATGCAGGGAAAAGGCATTTGTGGAGAACATTACATCAACGGCTACCTCCCTGAAACATCAAAAACCATTGGAATAATATCGTGATATTGGGTGTTAAAAGTAGCCTGGTTGCACAGAATATCACATAACCAGCTCGCCCTGTCTCTCACCTGGAAGAATAACTGTCGTCGTCATCGTACCCTCTATCACGGTCGCGGTCACTTACAGATCCACTCTCGTACTTCTCATAACGATCACCTCCCTTTGAGGCATAACCATCTCGATCACCTCCTTTTGACGGATAACTGTCATTTCCCTTCGATCCATAAGCATCACGTTCCTTAGATGCATCACGACCATCGTAACTACTATTCCTGCTTCGCTCTCTACCTCCTCCGTAAGGATCATCATCCCTGTACCGATCAGCATCTCGGCCGCCGCCTCTCCCACTGTAATCATATTCATCTCTTCCTCCACGGCTTCCTCCATACCGGTCATCGTCCCTATCACCATAACCTCCTCCGGTGCTTGAATAGGAACTAGAACGATGTGTCATTCCAGTGCTGGAGACGCCACGATATCTGAATTGATGGGCCACATCGATAAAACGGCACGTTAAATCCTTGACACTTGAGACTTGTGCAATTCTACTCCTTGAAAGAATGACTTGAAATGAAGTTATTGCATAACGGCATCCGTAACCACTTTTGCTACAGATTGTCCGCTGTTGCCTCTGAGTAGAGTTCATAAAAACAAATAAATGCTTCGCCATCCAGAAACTGAATCGAGTTTAAAACTCTCAAATTAAAAAGGCGTTCGAGTCTATACTTGTCTCGGTTGGCTGCTGCCTTGCTTCTCACTTCACGAATCTTATCTTTATCCTTGATTAAGGCAACCAAAGTTTGTGCCTTCTTCCGTACATTGATTCCCTGATCCTTGCCACTTTGCTCTAAGTACTGAAATTCACACAACGTCTGAAACCACAAAAACGAGATTGTTAGAGAAGATCCAACATACAAAACTGCGACGAGTGAAAATTTTGGACAGAATACGTTCATTATGAAGTGAACAGAAGAGACACAGGGTTGCAAATTGCGGCGGATATTTACCTGAATCTGATAAGTATGCTCTTGAAGTTCATCAATGACCCTCTCAGAGCCGTTTGCAACCAAATACTCCAAAACCGTCAAAGCCTGCCACACGCAAGGTCTCAACACAGTTACATTATGAAGTGTAGTTCGATCAATTCCTTCACGGAAAGGAGGAAAATCATGCCCATGGCTAAAATCTATTCAACTCGAGTACTGATCTTATTTTTTAAACGTTGCCTGACAATGCAAGCCACAACTCTACGCCGCCTGTAATGAAAAAATATTGTGAAGCATACAATTATTCACTTATCGCTAGGTACAAAATGACTAGATGCAAGTCGTAACACGACACTACTCAGGTTGGTACAATTTCAAATTTACCTTGTAGACATGGCGCCAATTCCTCCCAGTGTCATTCAAGCGTTTGTAAAGGACGGTCATTATCATTTGGTAGTCGTTGCTGCACAATGCAGACCAGAACAAAAGATCAAAATTTCTATGAATCCAAAGTCTCATACAAAAGGAGTGACATTCGTCTAAACCAATCGAACAAGATAACGGAATGTACAAGATTAGAGTAAGAGCGTACTGGTTCCGAGTAGCCTGTGCAATGTCACCCATTATCGTTCCGTGCGGACCCCATGGCTCGTTACTGGTCGCCTCCAGTATCTAAGATAAAAATAATAAAACAAAGAAAACAAATAAATAATTAGCTTATTGCTTAAATCCTCTGTCTCATCCCGCTTCGATTGCGCATGTTCCACTGCAAGAATTCTATACAGAAAAACCTAAATCAAGGTTAGCTGTGCATGCCTATTTTTCCATCTACCTCAGAAAATCCTAGAACACATAATCGTAGTATTAAACTCTAAGTGACCACCCAATGAGCAGAAAATTGTTGGCTACTTTTACCAACCCATCTTCAGAGGTTTCTTCAGATCCGTAAGTAGAGCATGCATTTATTTTAGAGTGGGCCGGCAGTTTCACTAAGATGCCACGCCCTTCGGATGCAGCGATCAACCTCGGATCCCATGAGTACTGAAGCCGAAAACTTTTACTCAACCAACCAAGCGCCCTGCCGTGGGATCTTCAGAAAAGAAATACCCTCTCCTCTCACACAACACAGACATCCAATTCTAGATATGAATCCTTACCTTCACTTCAATCTCGGGAACCTTAAGCACCTTCTTGTTGACCTCCCGCTTCCTGCACACGTAGAACACCCCATTCTCAAAACCTTCGCTCTTGATCACTCACAGTGCTCCACATGAGATCAGACCTCCTAATGCACTACTCCATATGAGAAACCCACCACTAGACATAACCATACCCAATGAGCCTCATCCTGCACCACATACCCCAGCTAGCCTTCCCAATCTCGTCACCCACGAAAAACGAAGAAAAAAGCTAACATCCCCGCGAAGAACTAATCCCTCGAAGAGAAACTAACAAAAACACAGATCGCCACCGCTGAGCACAGGGGTCCCCACAATGCGCTCTCATATCAGATGCACAGGCCACTATGACCAAAGTCCCAAAAGCTAGCGCGCGAGAACTCAAGCTCAAACTTACAGCTCGCGGACAGTCTGATCGAACACCTTCTTCAGATCCATAGCTGCTCAGCCGAGCTCGGCTATGGCGCTCCGCGTCGCAAACCCTCTCCACTCCGGTACTACTACCACTACTACTACTACTGCCTGATCAACCCAACCTCCAAATTCTTCCGATTTCAAAGCTCCCTCAAACCCCACGCGAAATAAATTATAAAAAAAATAAAAAATAAAAAAACAAAAACTTCCTTCCAACTCGTGGCGACGGTGCGCCCAAAGGGAAAGGGCGGAGGTGCTGGTGCTGGTGGGGAGAGGGGGGGATCGATGAGCAGTAGCATTCAATCAATGATGAGGCCGATGAATCAGTCCATCGCTGTGCCCTGCCTGCCGAGGTGCCAAGCTCACTTGCTCATCTCCCTCACTCACTCACTCCCAACGAAGGGCCCCGATAGACAGATAGATAATTTCAGCCCAGCCCAGCCCAGCCCAGCCCAACACCGTCCTCGCGTCTCTCCCTCGCTCTCTCGCTTCTTTCTTTGCGTCGCGCGCGGGCTCGTGGCTGCACTCCACCGGGAGAGCGTTTCTCGCCGCTAACCACAGCCCCTCTTCGTGGCTATCGGTGACCGTGTCTCTCTGGCGTAAGACCGTGGATTGTGACCGTGGCGCGCGAGACACGGGCATGGGTCTGGTTCGAGGGGCGGAGACCGGGGCGGGTACGTAGAGGGGACGCGCTTCGAGGATGACCGCGAAGCCAGTAGAGGTCCTGTGAAATTGCTTCTTCGTCCTGAGTAGCCCTAAAACACAGAAACCCTTGTTTACTTTGTTGAACTACCACTTGTCTACCATGGTCGGGGGGTCTTCATTCTTTGGACGCTTTATTTGTATTTTATTTTCATTTTTTTTATCCTAGTCTATGTGATGGGTTCTCCCCAGTTTTCATTTGAAAAAAATCTTTGAAATAAGTTAATAAATTAATACAAAACACGGTCACAGAGAACCTTGTTTCACACCTGTGATCGTGGGTATTTGCACCACCCTGCTTCTTAGTTCTCCTTATTATGCATACGTCTCTTTTGCAATGTGTAGTACAAAATTCAAGTCCTTTTGAAAATCCAATTGGTGTACTTAAAAGTTTCATTCCATTCAAATCAGCCATGATAGTTTTGTGAGAATCGAATTGGCAACAAAAAAAAATTACCACTTTGTAAAATAAATAAATAAATTCTTTTAGAGTCAAGCTTTTGTATTTTAATAAATCAATGATGACAATACATGCATAAGATGACGTGCAAGTACATAAAAGCATGAAAAAAACTGGAATTTAATACAAATAAAAGAAAAACAATAATGATAATAATAGTACATGCACAATACATTTGTTACATTCTCTTTTTTTTATCAAATAATCGTAGATCTCTTCTGTTTTTTAATTACAAAACATAAAATAAAACATGTCATCATCCCATATTCACAATAAATTATGCACATATATAAACAAATATCAATCATATATAATGATTGATAAACAACCATATAAAGAAATAGGTAAAAAAAATGACATTTTTTATGATAGTATATATTAGCAATTTGGTTATTGCTCTCAATACAACTTTTTTTTAATTCTTTAATTCTTTTTCCTTTTTTCACTTTTTCTTCTTCCAAAAAAAAAAAAAAAAAAATTACTAAACAAAAAATCAAACTTTTGATACTAATAATAACCATATTATTTTATTTGCATTGTTGAGTTCCAATCTGTATCAATCTATTCTTAGATTGTGATGACAGTATGGTTCATGCTGACAACAATTCCTCATAATATGTTCACTGATGCCTTGAAAACATAGCAACCTACATATTACTAGAGAGAGAGTGTGTAAAATGTATTAAATCCTGGTAAAATTAACAAATAAGCATGAGTGCAAGGATTGGAAACAATGTAAAGAGCTAAAATGTAAAATAAGCATTTTTCCTAGGAATTATTAATTTGCATAGAGGTTGTGGAATAATATGGTGACATCAATTGTTGAAGTTCGAGGAGACGAATCAAAGTGGTCAAAGGGTGAAAACTTTATTTTTGTTAATATCACGGTAATGCAAAAATGAAGGAAATCACATATAAATATATATTTGATACTGAAATGATGTAATAAATTAATACAAATATAAAATTATCAGCCCCTAAATGCATTAAAATTTGAATACGAATAATAAAATATTGTCACTAATGAAAAAATGGATTAAGAAAGCTCAAACATAATTGGACCACACAGTTTTGTAAACATGGAAAGCCACACTGACAAAACTGTGTATCAGTTTTGTGGCTTTAGAAAGTGTGGCTTTGCATGTTTACAAAACTATATTTAGAAAGCCACACTGACAAGCAACAGCGAAAAAGCCAAAAAGGTAGTTCGAAAAAAGATTTGACTTTTTTTCCTCCTGCCCGAAATAACTACACACTAGGGATCGGACCAAAAAGTACACACTTCAAGGGATGGATGGATGGATGGATAACCGCGCTCAGAAAACCTGGTTCCGCTCGCGAGCTTCTCCCGCGCAGTCTTGAACGAGAATTCATTCATCCACAACATGACAGACGCACGAGTTCATTCATCGATGATGATCGCGCGCGTTCATCCCACTGGGGGTCGAGGGAGGCGGCGAGGCTTGCGAATGTAAGGAATTGGGTCAGGGACGGGGCGGTTGCCAATGCCTCGCTGCAGGGGAGGGGTGGATGCCAATCCCGTCTGACTCATCCTGCCTTGCTATCGACTTGGCCACACCGTTTTCAGGAGCTCGTTCGAATCATCTCCACATGTGCAACGCGCGGGACCCGTCACGTTCCCCCGTCCACCTCTCTCGTTAGACCTTTTTGCTCCGCTTCTGTGCATGATTTCGAGACTGGGTGATGAGAACTTAAAGCGTGTAGACTTACTTTTGTTCGAGGTCGTGCGCAGAGGAGTGTCTCATCCTTGAGGAGCTTGCACTTTGCTGTATGATAGGTGCGTGCGCTACCGTGAATTTTTGGGTAATTCAGTGGTGGGTTGCGTTTGTGTGCGTCCGCATGATCTGGTAGCTCTGAGGTTTTTTTTGGGTCATGCTTGTCGGGAAGAGGTAAGGCTGTGTGTTGAGGTGGAATTGTTTTGGCGAAATTTGGGCTGTTCCAGTTGTGGGTGGCGCCTGCCGTGTTGTTTTACGTCGGATCGTTAAGCTGCGACGTGATTGAGACTTTGTGGTTTGGTGATGGTTTTGTGATGTAGTTATTCGGGTTACCGTATGAGTTTGCCTTATGAGCTGACCGGAAGTTCTTCGCTTCCAGAGGGCTTACATGTGATCCTTACGCAGGTTTGAAATTTTAGGTTATGTTCAGCATTGCTTTAGATCGATCCGGGTCTTGCTAAATTGAGGAATTCCAAGTTATACGTTCCGTGTACCCTGGGAGTCTGGTGGGAGTATTGATGGCGGGCCTTACCAACACCTTGCGTCTAGGTGCTCTGGATCAGGCATTATCAGCTTCCTCGGAGCTTCGCAATCATGCCCCGCGACGTGACCACAGGTACATCCTCGTCCTCTTCTCTGCCTTCGTTTTTCTTGTCCGCGCATAATTGGAGTCCAGATGCTTTAGGTAATTCCACAGTATGGTTACAAAGAACTTGTGACTTTGAAACTTTGCACTACTCGCCAGCATTAGAATTGTTAGTAATTGGGATGTTTGTGTTTAGATTTTTCAGCAATAGGCCTCAGACTGAACGAGTTGGTCAGTTTCCGAGTATCATAATCTAACATTCTTAAGGTCTAAACTAATAGAAGGATACATCACTTATGCCTCATCTCTTTGAGCTCAGGTAACGACATTGTATGTTTGGCCTTGTATTCTCTATTGATGGTATTCACGAGATCTATCCGTGCTGCAGTCCAGCATTTTCCCTATTAGCTATCCAGATCGGTTACTTCACAAGTAGGACAACAAAGAGACTCGCTTATTTGCATCAGTGAATACATCATGATGGTGAAGATTATATACGTGGTTTCTGCTGGTCTCTTGTGCAGGCTGCCGCGCAGTCAGCGGGTAATGGTGCGAGCTGCAGCCGAGGGTCCAGATTTGAGTGTCACCGTAAATGGTCTGAAATTACCAAACCCGTTTGTTATTGGATCAGGGCCCCCGGGCACCAATTATACTGTCATGAAGCGTGCCTTCGACGAAGGATGGGGTGGTGTTATTGCTAAAACAGTATGCCTTCTTCACTGATACATGGAACTTCATATCTGCAAGAGCTTACGATGATGGTATTGTATGTTCAGTAATTATTACGTCTCGCTTGCTTGTTATTTGGAAGTCCAATAAAATGTACACAGTGCTTTTAACGATCTTTGTAGCTTACTTCTCAATGTATGTACTTTATACTTAAGAACTACGCTATTACTCCAGCGCCCTTCTGGCGAATAAGATTTGTGAAACGTGGGGATTGCGTAGAGTTGAACCTAGGTGCGGTGATTTCGTGACTTGTTTTCCTAATGGAGCTCGTGACCTCAGGTGTCATTGGATTCGTCGAAGGTGGTGAATGTCACCCCTCGCTACGCAAGATTAAAGGCATCCGCACTTTCTGGGAAAAAGCCCGAGGTTATTGGGTGGGAAAACATTGAGCTGATCAGTGATCGCCCATTTGAGACCATGCTCGCAGAGATGAAACAGTTGAAGGAGGAGTACCCTGATCGTATCCTTATCGCATCCATTATGGAGGAATATAATCGTGATGCTTGGGAGGAGATCATTGAGCGAGTTGAAGAAACGGGTGTGGTAAGTCGGAAACATTACAGTGTTCTTTTTTTGAAGTACTTATTACAATATCGTTCATCTCGCACCTAAATTCCGGTCTTAGCACAGTGAATGAGGGGAAACACCCGGAAGGATTTGGAGTAGGATTGAAGTCTATTAAACTTCAAACGGTTGAGGCTTGAATCTCCTATTAAATGCTGCTTTGCAAGTTTTTCAGGGTCATTTCCTGGTCTAGCAATCTAATATTTAGAGTGGCAAGCATGCTCAATATGACGTGACACTAAAAAAAGCATTTCTGTGAACGAGTATATAACAGGACGCTTTTGAGGTAAATTTTTCATGTCCACATGGGATGCCGGAGAGAAAGATGGGTATGGCCATGGGACAAGATTGCTCAGTGCTGGATGAAGTTTGCGGCTGGATCAACGCCAAGGCTACTATACCTGTTTGGGCTAAGATGACGCCTAACATCACAGACATCACCCAGGTTTGTTGCCCATACCTCGTCCCATTTCTGAGCATTCAATTCACGTCTAGCGCAGCAGGGTTGGGGCATCTGTCTAAGCTTAATATACTTTTTGGAGTTAAATGATCGCATGGCTATATGGCTTGGACAGCCGGCACGTGTGGCCTTGAATGCAGGTTGCGAAGGAGTAGCTGCCATAAATACAATCACGAGTGTCATGGGAATCAACCTTGACACCTTGCGACCTGAGCCTTGTGTTGAAGGGTGAGTATTGTTCTGTTTGAATCACTTCCTCATTACCCTGTCTCCCTTGTTTTTGTTTACCATGCATGCCTCTGGGAAGTAGAGTACTTTCATGCATCAATATTTTACGCAAAGCTATATTAGCGAGCTTGCTATATTTTTTCTAACTTCAAGCAAAATGTAAAGAGGTCTTAGAAACTGGCATGATCAATAAATTTGTATTGCCAGGTACTCAACACCTGGAGGTTATTCGTCCAAAGCCGTACGGCCAATTGCGTTGGCGAAGGTTATGTCAATTGCCCAAATGATGAAGGCTGAGTTTCCTGGCCAAAATAAATCTCTGTCCGGCATTGGAGGAATTGAGACTGGCGATCATGCCGCTGAGTTTATACTGCTTGGAGCCGATACAGTGCAAGTTAGTTTTGAACGACATTCTTCCATAACTGTACACATTATTAGTGTACTAATAGTAATGTCGAATGTAGAATGTGTGTGATTATCTCCTGGCTTTCCAGAACATAGTGCACTAACTCATATCTATATGATGACCATCAATGAATTGCTTATACTTAACGATCTGTACTTCACGTGGGCAGGTATGTACTGGTGTGATGCTGCACGGTTATGGCCACGTCAAGCACTTGTGTACGGATTTACAAGCTTTTATGGACAAACATGGATTCACTTCAATTGAAGATTTTCGGGGGTATGATAATTAACGATCTCTTTAAAGAACTGTTCAGAAGAGTATAGGTGCAGAATATCTTTGGTCTTGTGGTGGGAGGTGGGGGATCGTGATTAATAGATGAAGTGACGTAGCCATTTTGTTGCCTTTCATGTTCATTTGTCTAATATGTCGATTGTCATGGCCATAGAGCGTCTCTGGGGTACTTCACGACGCATGCAGATTTGGTACGACGACAAAATGAGGCCATCCAGCACAAAAAGAAGGAGCGCAAAGGTTTGGCCTCAGATAAGGACTGGACTGGAGAGGGCTTCGTGAAAGAGACCGAAACCATGGTATCTAACTAACTTGGTTTCTGTCGAAGCTGCTGATGGGCGCGTCAAATTGTTAATGCCGTTCAAAAAGCAACTGGTGAAGCATTATCTTCTCATTTCAACGCTAGTAAAAACTGTGAATTAGTGCATATATTCTTGTCATGTTTAGGGCCCAGGAAGAAGAACCATGTATAGTCATGCGCACTCAGGATGTCATTAGCAATTCATCACTGTTTATTGGAATGATGTTGTTTATTGTAATATTATGAATGTAAAGATAGGCCTCCGACAATGCGTGTCTCGTCTGTGCACCTGTTATTCGTGTAGCAGATGTATCAACATGGATATGATCATTGAGATGTGGGCTAAATTCTACTCCCTTTATTGTGGCAGTAAAGATTGTTGTGGCAATAGAGATGATATAACTATCACGGACCTGAAAATTTGCTTTCCCTTGCTCACCCTCTATAACCAACATCAGTTCACCTGAATGATGAAATGTTAATTTTATGGACAAATGAAATAACTATTTTTTCTGATCGTCGACTTCAATTTCTCTTTTGTGCATTCATTACGTGCAAATATGTAAAATTTCTTGAAGTGGCAAGAATAGCTAACCATGATAGTAGGCTTGTTGAAGCAATGGTTGCTTTGTATGCATATGTAATTGATCAATTAATTTGAATTTATCATTTATTTCATTGATATTAATTTAAATATATTTTTTTAAAACAATGGATAGAGTATTATATTTTTTATGACTGTGTTTGTTTGTTTATTTGTTTGTGGACTGGTAGTGGTTTGTATGCTAAAGATATAAATAAAAGTTAGCAATCTTAAAAAGATTTTTGTAATCAAATCAACAAGCTAATTGAAGTTAAATTGACAAATAGCTAACTTAAAAGATTGTAATTAAATTGTTAACATAAATCTAAAAGATGATGCATTCATGTATTATTCAAGAAGATAAAAAAAAGAGAAAGTTAAAAGATATAAAATCATTAGAATAGCTATTTCTAAATATAAAGAAACTAGAGAATCTTGAATCAAGATTAGAATATAAAAAGATGTTGACAAGTTTGAAGATGATATTGATCTTGTCTCTATATATATTAGTTGTAAAGAAGGTCTTGTAGAAGTTGCCTAAGGATTGAAAGACTTAAGGCTCAAGTGTCTAATTGTATGTTGCTTCCAACACAGCTTTTTAAAAGTAAAAAAATTATGAATAAAATTTTAATAGAAATTTGACATATATATTAAAGTCTAAATATCTAATTTGTATTTGAAAAACTTCTTCAAAGTCTAAGATCCATCTGATTGTATTAGTAACAAACTCTAATCAATGTTCTACACAAATATGGTTGATAGATTCCTTAAACCATTGTTTATATTTTGTACCAAAGTAAGAAGATCATCTAATTATTTGATCATTCTTGGGGTCCTTATAACTACCTTCAAATAACACATTTTGCATTCCATTAGGTGTAATATCAACCTCTATTAGTTTTACTAAGCATCAAGAGTCACTTCTAAAATTATGATACCAAACAAGTTGTATTTTACCATCTATTTGGAGAATGACATGTCTCATGAGGATCTTTATTGCAATTTTGATATTGGATATGTTAAGACAACCTAAGTGTTTCATTTGGCAATTTTGCAAATGACAAATTTTAAAATAAATTTACTTGTTGTTGGTTCTTTATGTTTCTTAAGCATTTTAAATAGATTTAATCTTTGTAATAATTATCATTATACACTTAGGCTTAAAATAATTTTTATATGATATAATATCTGTATGCAATAATTTTTTTCTATAAAAACATAAGGTACATAAAAGTAGAGCTAAAGAACTAAATTTATGCATAAAAATAAAAATTATTTATTTAAAAGATTCAAGGATCTATTTCAAATCAAGTCATAAAATTCTACTAATTATTTTGTAAAAGATAATCTACTTAAAGACCTAGAAATGAAATAAAAATAATTGAAAATTTGAAAAATTACACAAAAATTTGTAGTCAAATCTACAAATAGAAAAAATTCAAAATTCTCTGAAATTCAAAATTATAAAACTTGATACATAGACATAAGGTCAAAAATTGTATTTAAGAAATAGATACATGACATATGGCAATAGGTGTTCTAAAGAGTTTTCTTTTGTAGTAATAGCAAAAAGATAACTAAAATTGTATATTTTAAATTTCTATAGTTATTAGAAGAATCATAAATGAGATTATATATATTTTAAAATAATATGTTATAACTTCTATTAATAATATTATAAAAATAATTATAGTTATTTTAAGCAACTAAAGCCCTGAAATCTTATATAAAAATAGTCTAGCATAAGGTCACAAATCAAATAGTTTTGTTTCTAACTGAACCATTAGCACTCCATAAACTCAAGCTTTTAGTTTGAAATACAGCAAATAAGAAGACTTTGGATCTAAATAAAATGAGTGTACAATTATTGAAAGTATTAATTTTTTCTTTTTTATAGAAAATATTAACTAAATGCAGCAAACCAGATAATAGCCAAAGTAGATTTTTTGCAAAATATAATAAGAAAAGTTTTAGTACTTCTGATCTGAAATAAGGAATAGATCTGGTACAGACCCATTTTTTATTAATAAATTATATTTAATATATAATTATATTTTAAAAATAAATTTTATATTAAAAATTGATGTAGTACATTCAAATAAAGTAGCATTTTTACTTCTAATGTTCATCTTAGATGATAAATATGTAATCCACAAAATCATTGTATAGACTAAAATATTCAAAATAATCTCAATAATTATTTTAAATAGATTCATTTAATGCCTATGACAAGGTTTTATAAAAAACATATTTTGTAGCTATTGAAAATTTGACTTTTTTAAAAATATATAATAAAATTTAATTAAATAATTAATTGATAGAATAGCAGTAACAATAAAATTAATGAATCTTCTACTAGATTATTTATTGTATGCCAAAGAGTATGACAAGGTTGCCTCTCGGCCCACTATTTATTCTTAGTTTTTCTAAAAAATAAACAAAACTATCTAAAAAAACTATAGTAAATCAAAATACTTATGCAATTAAGATTCTAAGAAGAATCTTATGACAAATATAGAATCAATATAAAAAATACTCTACTTTTGTTATTGGATAATATAAAGAAAAAAATACAACAAATATAATATATATATATATATATATATATATATATTTTTTGAAAATAATTATTAAAATTATAAATTATTCAATATAAGTTAATAATATATTTGAACAAGAATAAAACATCTAGAAGTTACAAAGCACAATTAGATTTAGATAGGCAAAGACAAAACTTAATAATAAAATATCATTTTAAAAATAATTAATAAAAAGCTTTCTTAACTAAAAATATTGATTAATTTCTAATTAAAAAAAAATTCAAGTCAAATTATTAATTTGTTTCATATCATACATGGCCTAGAAAAAATAAATGATTTTATACATATCTTGTAAGTGACATGAAATATGCATATCATATTTAATATTGAGTCAAATTAAATTTTTATCTATTTCAAAACAATGAAAGTTTTAAAAGATTTTTTTTATAACAATAAGTTATTTTTCTAAGATTTAAAAGTTTTTGTACAATATGATATATAATTAGAAGACTTTTTTTTTATTTAATTTATAGATATAAGTTTTTTTTTATTTAAGAAAAAGAAAATATAATGGCTTATACATACACAAAAAATTGATTTGCTCATATATATTAGAATATGATCAAGTATTGTAGAAGGTTACATGTTATAAAATGGAAAAATAATAAAATAGCTGTGACACATTTCTTGGACGATTGAACATATCATAGATAACCAAAAACATTAAATGTTAAAACAAGTATAGAAAATTTAATAAAACTCATGAGTTTTACAAAATAGCCAAGTAATTTATGATAAAAAAATAGTTACAGTAAGTAAAATCAGATTTTTGAATGTTTTTTTTGTAATAGATCTTAAATGTGTAGGTCTAACTTATACCTATGGTGATAGGACCTGAAACATTATGTAATTCTTAATATATATATTAAATTTATCTTATTTTATATCACATATATATTATATATATCTAAGATAACTTGGATATAACACAAAGAAACAAAGAAGTCTTTTGATTAGTTGTGAAGAAGAGAACTTGGAAAACATGGGGAATGTGGAGAAGACGAAAATGAGGGAACATAGGAATGTGAAAACATAGGAACTAGAGAACATAGGAATGAGGAAATCCATAAACTAGGGAACAATGGAGCATAGATAAATTAAAGAATGGATGAATGTGCCAGAGATCATAGTGTCTAACAACACGGGTTTTCTGCTAGCATATATATACACACACACAAAAATAATACAAATACTATATGCTTAAAAACAAAATGCTTGTTTTATGACTAAGATACTTGTTATATAATTTTCATGCTTATCTCTCTCACTTTGTCCAAATTTTCAAATGATGAACAACTAAAAGAAAAGAAAACCAAAATACACAAGAAGGGATGAATGAAAAAGTGTCAAAAGCAAAGGACAGATTGTCTGAGAACTATGCTTAACACAAAAAGATCCATAAAAGACCATGTTGTGGCCAACTCATAGCTTGGTTTCAAGTCAATGGTAAATTTTCATTGAGAGTTGAAATTTAATAGAAGTTTTGTGTGCGTGCACTCAACACACATTTGATAGCAAGTTTTGTGGAGAAGTGATGTCAATGGGCAAAATTACACAGTTGCAAAAAGATTCTCGTAGAGAATGAGCGCAGTCATGATCGATCGCACGTCCTTTAGTTCATAAACAGAATCTAGATTTATTCCAGTTCAATTTAGTATCCTCAAATGAATTGAAGCTTTGGTCATTTTCACAGGAATTTGTGCGTTTGCACCTCTCATCTCCGGAGCGACGACCACCTTGTTGCTGTGAACTCCGTGTTTGAGGCGTGTTCATTGAGCTATCAATCTCAGAACATCACCAGTTGTAACTTAAGCATATTCCTATCTAGTCAGATCGCAGTGAAGATGGGTTCAACTCGATGAGTATTCGGCACTTCTGGGTGGAAAGAAGACGCATGATTCGGTACTGCACATGAGGATCACATGAGAAAACATCACTTCCTACTCAGTTTTGGACACTGTCCGAAGTCTGAGTTTGTCTGAAAAGTTAAGTTAAACTTGTACATTCATGTTTCTTAACGAGAGATTTACAAAAATTATGAAATCCGTATCAGGGAAGAGTGGGAAATATTTGCTGAAATGGAAGCGCGAAACTCTTGCTTACAGAAGCAATGAAGAGAAATGTAAAATATAAAAAGAAGATCTTCTGTGGAAGTGCTTTTCTTTTTGTTGCAATGATGCATACTCATTCATGTATATGCTGGCCTCAC